TGGACCCTCAGCTCCAGTCAGGGACTACAGCATCAAGACCCTCTGATTCTTGAGCAGGTGGCCCAGCCCATGGCCTAAGGGCAAGGAGTAGCTCAGGAAAGCTGCAGAGGCCTCAAGAATCACAATCCCGCTTGGAACATGAACAGTTTTCCTTGGAACTTTCCTTTTTGTAACTTGATTGCAAGGTCCTAGAGTGTACACTTCTAGATGAACAGTGTCAAACCACAGTATCATTCAAAACACACATATGCATGCTCTAAATACCTGCATGCATGCTCTTGCTGCCTGTGCATGCACTCAGACTCTATTTCATGGTGGCTGCAGCTTCCAGTGTGTTGTGTCCAGGGCGTTGACAGTGGACTCGGCATCATTGAATGTCACAGTGCTCAAGGTGACTTAGGGAGTAAAGCACAACCATTATCAATAATACTTTATCACTGCAAATGACAGGTGTGTACAGTTAACTTAGAAGTCAGGTTCCTAATTACATTTATTACTTACGTATTTACTTATTTAGAGGGGGGGTCACACGCATGGCACACCTGTGGAAGTTAGATGACTTGCAAGAGTCAGTGGTGGATCCTGGGAATCCGACTCAGGCGTGGCAGCAGGTGCCTTAACTCACTGAGCCCCAAGACAGTGAAGGACTCCTACTTGATTATTGAGGAGACCAGCACATTTTACCTCCACTCATGAACTGTATCCAGAGGTGAGGGGCAGAAAAGTCAAACCTCGATATATTCCTGCCAGTTCATTTCCATAATAAAGTCAATACAGTTCCTTGTCTATTATTTTAGATCCTGTAATGGCTTCTTTTTTTTTTTAATTAAAAAAAATTCCGCCTCCTCCCTGCCTCCCATTTCTCTCCCCCTCTCCCCACTTCTCTCACCCTCCCTCTCCAGTCCAAAGAGCAGTCAGGGTTCCATGCCCTGTGGGAAGTCCAAGGTCCTCCCACCTCCATCCAGGTCTAGGAAAGTGAGCATCCAAACACGCTAGGCTCCCACAAAGCCAGTGCATACAGTAGGATCAAAACCCAGTGCCATTGTCCTTGGCTTCTCATCAGCCCTCATTGTCCACCATGTTCAGAGAGTCCTGTTTTATCCCATGTTTTTTCAGTCCCAGTCACGCTGGCCTTGGTGAGCTCCCATTAGATCGGCCCCACTGTCTCAGCGGGTGGGTGCATCAATCACGGTCCTGACTTCCTTGCTCATGTTCTCCCTCCTTCTGCTCCTCATTTGGGCCTTGGGAGCTCAGTCCAGTGCTCTAATGTGGGTCTCTGTCTCTATCCCCATCCATCTCCAGATGAAGGTTCTATGGTGATATGCAAGATATTCATCAGTATGGCTATAGGATAGGGCCATTTCAGGTTCCCTCTCCTCAGCTGCCCAAGGAAATAGCTGGGGACATCTCCCTGGACACCTGGGAGCCCCTCTAGAGTCAGGTCTCTTGCCAACCCTAAATTGGCTCTCTTAATTAAGTAATATACTTCCCTGCTCCCATATCCACCCTTCCTTTATCCCAACCATCCCATTCCCCCAAGCTCTCCCCATCCTCCCCTTCTCACTTTTCTCTCCCCAATTCCCCTTACCCCCATCCCACCCCACCCCCAAGTTCCCAATTTTTGCCCGGCAATCTTGTCTACTTAAAGCATCTCAAAAGAAAATAGGCTCAGGACTGTCTATAACTCCAGTTCCAGATGATCAGATGCCTTCTTGTAGTCTCCTTGGGGACCTTTGTACACAGTACTGGCAAAACACCCGGAAATATTGTTTTTAATTTAATAAAAGTAGTTTGATAGGTATAGCTACCATTTTCTACCCTACACCTCACAGAACTGATGGACCAACATGGCTCAGCGCACTGTTTTTATTAGGAGTGCTCGTGACAAATGTGTCGCCAAAGAAGCAGCTTTCGTACAGTTAAAAGACACAGCTAAATCAAGAGATAGGCACAAAGCAATAAAAGATACATTAGAGGCTTTGTCCATTGTCAACATGCCTGGAGCAGTTCCTGGTAATACCCCTTCAAAACTAGGAGAAGGCGATTCATTGACCAAGCCAAACTCAGGCTTTCATCATTACATGAAACCTAAAGAACTGCATGCCTGAGAAAGCCTTACAAGTGGGTAGCGTTGTGTGACTCCAGACTGCCTCACGAGAGCCAGGGGATTAAATCATCACCAGTTCCAAGAATTCCTTAAAAGTGTTGATGCTAACTATGGTGACATCATTTGTCTTTCTGAGAAAAAAAAAATTGCTGTCTAGACCAAATGTAGAAAAGATTCTATTATTTGTGGTGTGCTGTCAAGTTATTTATGGTTGGCACCAAAAACGAAATTTGTGCCAGAACTTGATGAAAACTGGCTTACGGATTTTTCTTTTTTTAATGGATTCTACCACTCATTTCAGTGAGCTGAAAAATCTATCTTTAAGGTGAAAAAGAATTTATCAATACAACCTCTCAAATCACGCTAATGTTCCAACTGAAACTAAAATTACGGCAAACTTGAACTAATGAAACCTTAGGCAATCCAACATGTAGGCTAAACTCATCCCAGTGTTCAGCAAAGCTTATATAGTCTTGCTCTCTATTTGATAAAGGAATTTAAAAACAGATTTCGGGATTTCCAGGAATGTAACATCTTGGTATATTTGGGGCTCCATTTTCAGTTGACATAAACATATCAGCCTGTTTTCAAACAGAATAGAGAGCCTGCCATCTGGCATTTAGTTAAATATTTGACAGTGTCCCTTCCGAGACTTTCACAGGTCCAGCTTTCGAGAGACAAACACCTCTCACTCATGTCATCGCTTCTTAGAAGCGCCTGTGTTTTCTGTTGTTTTGTATTAGTTTGATTATTTGCAGTAGTAATGTCCTACTTATGAAGTAGGGCCAGCAGCATGTCACATTGCACTGGGTACCTTCAAGCACCCCGTATTTTCAGTTCTGTTGCGTATCCACCTGTCAAGTTAATCACCTGCATTCTGGGTAGCTCAGCTCCGCTCAGACTTTGGCACCTTCTGGTCCAGGTAAGATCTTTTGCATCAGTGACTCAGACACAGGCTTATGAGTCCTCCTGTCCCCTGGACGTGGACAGGGTTGACTTTCCCTCCTCAAGAGGCCTTTCTCATGTGTTTCCGAGCAATTGTGCTCCCAGTGAGTGCTCCCATCCCTCTACTCAGCACAGCAGGGCCTGAGAGGCCTGGCCCCATTCAGCTGTCTTGCTACCCTGCAGACACACACATGCAGGCACGTGGAGCTGCCTCTGAGGGTGCTGCTGTTGTTCAGAAAGTAAATGCTTCCCAGAAGCCTGTGTGTTAAAATCTTGGTCTCTACCCTGATGCTAATTGAGAGGGGGTGGAAAAGTTCAAAGCAGCCTAGTAGGCGCTCTCCAGGTCATTGGGGTGTGCCCTTGAAAGGGCTGTAGACTCCCATCTTTTCCTTTTTTGGTCTCTTTCGATTTCTGGCTATGAGGGGAGTGACTCTGCTCCCACCACCACCATCTTGTGACATACCCCAGACCCACCATCTTGTGACATACCCCAGACCCACCATCTTGTGACATACCCCAGCCCCACCATCTTGTGACATACCCCAGCCCCACAAGGGTCAGTCAACCACCAACAGAAGGCTTTGGAAGCATGAGACGAGATAAGCCTTCTCTTTTTTTATTATTTCAGAAATTTATCACAATAACACAAAACGAATGACTGTCCCTACTTGTCCAGCAGAGCGCAAACTATCAGACTGTAGTGTCAGACAGCCCAGAGTGTGCAGGTGACCAGCCAGGTGTCAGTCCATGGTAGGGAGCACAACCACCTCGCTATGGCATGGGATAGTCCCCCAGGTTTCACAGCGCTCCTTGGGGGACACCTGAGCTTGCGCACGTGATGAAGCTAGAATAATGCCTGACACAGAAAAGTCCAGCTAACGGTCAACAGTGCTGTCTGACGGCACTAGGTCAAGAATGACAACAGAGGGGCCATAATGGGAAAATAATCTAGAGGATGAGTCGTGGTCTGGATCATGCTAAGAGTTTTGTTTTTTCCAGAAAATCAAAGTAAAAAGAAGATGGGTCTGTTATCTGTTTAATTTTCCAAATGTCACCCTGGCAACAAAATGATAGAACATGGGTGAACATGCAACACCACACTCACATACACACACATGCATGCATGCACACACTCACATGCACACACACATACACGCACACACACACATACACCTGTTCACCTACAAACTAGGAAGAGGGAGCTTCCTCATTGGACACCAAGCCTGTCAATACCTTGACCTTTGACCTCCCTCTTCTACAACTTTGTAACTGAATGACCACTCTGAGGCTTACTATTAATTACAAACTGCTTGGCCGATCACTCAGGGTTATTATTAACTAGTTCTTACAGTTTAACTCATTTCTATTTTTCTATATTTTACCATAAGGCTCGTGGCTTGTTACCTCACATCTTGCTTCTCCAGAGACTGCAGGCATCTCCCAGACTCTGCCCTCTTTTTGTTTGGAATTCCCACTGGCTCTATTCTGCCTGGTTATTGACCAGATTGGCTTATTTATTTATTGGTTTTTCAAGACAGGGTTTCACTGTAGTTTAGGAGCCTGTCCTGGAACTAGATCTAGAGACCAGGCTGGCTTCAAACTCACAGAGATCCGCCTGCCTCTGCCTCCCGAGTACTGGGATTTAAAGGCATGTGCCACCACCACCCAGCTAAATTGGCTTCTTTATTAACCAATGGTAATAAGACATATTCACAGCATACAGAATGGCATCCCACATCACAAATTCAAAACCCCAAGAGGAGAATTCTGTCAATGAAGGCACCCAGGTTGTGGTCTCTTGTTACGGCAGCAGGATCAAGACACTCCATATCCTGAGATGGAGAGACCACATGGGAGCTGATGCTACAGTTCCACATGCCAGTCCCCACCCATTCCCAGTGAGCACGGGCCACCTTTATCAACAAGCTATCATCCAGTAGCCCCTCCTATCCATGGCTGTAAAGCAAAGACTCCATGACTACAGACTTTGCTGACGTAATCGACCCTCATAGGAGAAGCAGAAACTTCCATCGCAATGGTCCGAATGCTCATGAGCAGCTGTGTTTCCATCTGGTCTGACCGCTGCCCCAGTTTTTATTTCCACAGTTGCTACATCTTATTTGTGTGGTCCTAGTGACCTAAGTTCGGTGCACGGAAATGGTGTGAAGCGTGCACACACATGCAGTTAGTGAAAAGATCTCTGCCCAAAGATGCGTAAATTCTTGTATTTTCTGAAGTTTCTAAAATATGATACTATCCTAATTAGTAAAAGTCATGTATCTGAAATGCCGCCAAATGGTTGCTATCGGTGGCAAAGAAGGTAATTTGGAAATTATGAAGAATCTGTGCAGAGACTCTTGATCCTAGCTCCCAATTCAAGCAGACTTCTTGAAAGACAAAGATGGAAATTTGTATTATTGTTCTCTTTTATTAAACAAAGTAAGACGGTGGATCTAAACATCAATGTATGTATACTTCATATACATGTATTCTCTCTCCCTCCCTGCCGTCCTCATCTGCCTACTTCTCAGGAACCTGCTCTTCTGCCCTGTCCTGGGCAAGCAACAGGGAACCCTGGGATCCAGTGATAAGAATGGGGAAAATGGAGCCGATGCCCTGATTCCTATGACCAAGCGGCACACAGGAGAGAAAGCGGTGACAGATGAGAAATGTCACAGCCCTTCTCCCGCATGCACCCGGACAGAAAACCACACCACCACGACAGCCGTGAGAAACTTTATGCATTTATCTTTGTCATCAGTACAGTTCTTCAGAACGAGATGAGAGAAAAGGAGAACATTGTTATTGTTCCTAACAGTTACAGCCATAGGTAGACATTACAAACTAGGTGTAGATCTAGAGGTTTTTAGAGAGGACTGAGGTGCAGGGTTCACTCCCCCAAAAAGTGCTGAGAGGGTACAGGCAGGTGTGGAAATAAACTCCTGCAGTTAAGTTCTTCTGGTGTTTGCAAAGTGTCCAGTACATGGGGAAGACGGTGAGTCCAAACAGGCCTTTGCACATGCTGTGTGGGCGAGGCTGTGGCAGAGTTCTTGTCCTAAACAGCAAGGCTCAGAAGTCGACCGGTTCATGTTGTGATTACTTGGTACTGTGCATGCATGATATTGGTACAGAGAGCTTTAATAGGAATCTGTTGAGTTTTCTAAATTGACATGGTCATTTTAACTGAAAAAAAAAAATTCCCTCTCAACTATCCCTTCAACCGACACTCAGCCCATGCCCTGTGTAGGTCCCTTTCTCAAGACATAGGTGAGAGGAGAATTTTGACAGAAGTCAGTAGAGCAGCCCCACCTGACTACCCACCTCCCCCCCAACACCCAGACTCTTGGGGAGCCAGGGCCTGGCAGAGAGGGGACAATTTTCTATTTAAGTCAAACAGGCTGGGTGGGGGAACTTAATTGAGAAAAGACGCTAGTGAGGCTAAAAGTTGTTATCTGAAGTTTAGCAGACAGCAGGAATCCTTTTTTGTGCTTAGCTTTAGAAAACTAGTAAGTCCCCCACCCACCGAAATCCTTCCCCAGGCCTAGGAAGAACATGGCTGTCTGTTGAGAAGCTGCCTGCTAACTTCAGACAGAACTCCAGGCCCAAAGTATAACAACTTATTAGCCTTGCATTCTATCCCCGGGTCCTTTGGGGCAAAAACACCACACAGGGCATGAAATGTGACATTCCTGTAGAGGCTTTTCATTCAAAAGTGCCCACACAATTCCACTGACTTATTTAAAAAAAAAAAAAAAAAAAAAAAAAAAAACTGAGTACCTCTCATTGTAAAAGCTCTCTCTGAAACCAGCTCTGGCTTCAGAATTAGCGAACCGACTTGCTCAAATGAACACTGGCGGCTTCGACAGTATTCCTGAAAAACCTGCCAAAGCCTTCCAGAGATGAAGGTCAGGGTGTCTCTCTATTCTGCTAATGACGGTGGCGACAGAGCGGAAAACCCTTCATTCAGCCAAGGGAGAGGTGCACGAAGCATTTGGAGAAAGAACTAAATTTTCATGAGGAGGAGGTTTCGCAGCCCGTTCTGTAAACACCATCCCAGGCCTCTACGCCTTGGAGAGAGCGCCTTAGAGTCGGGAGGCTGTGCAGGGAATGGCTTCCTAGTCTTGGCTCGGATCAGCTGTCACCAACGCACGCGGACAAAGAGCAGCAAGCCAGCTTATCGTACGAGAAGAAACAGGGTGAGGTCCTATGACAGACACACTGGATTATTTACCTGGAGTAATTGAAGCGCCACTTCATGTGTGTGGCACAGAGTTCCCAACTGCATAGTGGAGACAAAGAGGAGCTACCTCTGACCTGCTGGGACCAGGGTGGGAGGGAATGAGAGAGAGGAACACAAAGAGCTGGGGCCTGCTCCAGGGAAAGGCAGTGTTCAAGTAACAAAGAGTAGTCTAACCCAACAGCACAAAATTCAAGTAACAGAGTCATGGGTGCTGTGTTCTGCTTGTGGGCAAGGCATTGCACATCTGTCGTGGAGAGAGGGTTGGGAGGCGTAGGAACTGCGTCTTCCACAGAGAGCTCGCCGAGTCCTCGCCAGAAGAAAAGAAGTCTCAGGAAAGGTTGGAATCGGCAAGCGGTTTGGAGCAGCTACTTAATGCATAGCCAATGAGTGTCTCTGCGTATGCTCTTCAGTTTGGTTATTAACGTCAGTGTCAACTGATGTGAAGGTTTTCTTTTCACGGGTAGAAGTAGAAAGTTAAAGAAAGACTATCTTGATTTTTCTGCTTTAGCGTAAGAATAAAAAACAATCTGAAGACAGGTATTAAAGCGCACACACACATGCACGCACGCACACTCATCACACACACACAAATTCCTCCCCTCTCCGGCAGAGCGGAAAGAGAAACATCAGGACAGCTTTTTTTTTTCTTTTGCAACTAAGAAACTTATTTGTACAGTTTCAGTTCTAGCAAGCTGGTGTGTTCGTTCATGCTGGAGGATTAGTGATGCCCAGAGGACAGGAAGGCCAGGGGGACGTGTTGTTGTTTTCAGAGATCCCAAAAAGGCCCTGAGAAGGCCGGAAGAGGGCTTAACAGTCTACATATTGTCTTTTCTAAAGAGTTCACAAGGAAAATTGGGGAAACTCCACACTTGAGAAGCACACAATTTATTCAGTCACAAGAATCCACTTTCCCAGCTACCTAGCGGGTAGGAAAAGCCCCTGCCCTGGTTCCCACCATGACACTTCCAGTTCCCACTTTGACGGGCAGTCGGTGCTCGGCTCCTAGCCTCTCGATTCGTTCTCACTGGACAAACAGAACAGGAAGGGTGTGGCTGGCATGCTAACGACGGCATGCCACGCGAGGTCAGACGCTGAGCCACCGGGAGGCGTCATCGCTTCTTAGTGCTGCTGCTCCCAGTGGCCGACTTATTGAAGCTCCTGCTGATCTGAGGGAAGTGCATGGTTGGGGTTCTTTCTGTGGGGCCGTACAACCCCAAATTCCTGGCCGTGGCTGACTTTCGAAGCGGCTTGACGCTAGGAAAAGGGCTGAAGATCGGGGCTTTTGAGTTGCTGACAGGGAGAGGATTGCTGGGAGCCTGGTGTTCCCCGGGGCCACCCGCTGACTCTGGGGCATGCTGCTGGCAGGGAAGGTGCGCCTTGGGCTCAGTCTCGGCAGGGGCATCCCTTTGGTTCAGTTCCAAGGCTTCTAATTTCACCTGCACTGCAGCCACATCGACAACATCGGCATCCCCAAATACTGGCTCGGGAGACTGCCCTTCGATTGTCCTCGGAGTGCCACCAGCACAGCTGCTGCCCTCACCACGAGCTGTGGCTGCACAGCTCGAGGGAAACTCCTCAGCTGCCCCCAGGCCGCTGGCCCTACAGCCTTCATTCTGCTCCTCAATCAGCCCTTCGGTGTCCCCACAGCCCAGATGACTCTTGGTCCGTGGCATGTTCTTTTTGTGGGCTCTGATGTGAGTCCGCCAAGGAGAGTTGAGCTTGGTCTTGAGGTCTTCGTAGGGGACAGGAGACATTTTACCTCCTGCATGGCCAGGGATGTGGATGACTGCATTCTTGGTGGCTCTGTTTGTAATTTTCATCTTTTTCCCTAGCAGAAGGTGATTTATCACTGGAGAATTGTTTACCTGGGATGGGAGGATGCTGGTGACTGGGCCTTTGTCTGGAAGAAAGGTTGAAAGGCCGTGTGAAACAAACCACACAGAAACACAATGGTCTCAACAGCAATCTCACAGAGCTTACCCCAGAATCTTTTCCCCATTAATTTTCCAGGTGCCAGCAGAGCCATGTGACTGGGAACACAGAAACTGAATCGCACCCTAGCACCTGTGATCCACTGGAGGCAGGGGACTTGCTATGGTTTGGATGGGTATATTCTACAAAGGGTTCCTGTATGAAAGGCTTGGTCGCAGCCGGCAGATCCCACCATTGACTGCATCATCATGACCTTGACCTAACTGATGGTTAACTGTCCCTCAGAGAATTTACAGTTGCATCGATATGTGTAAGTGGTTGAAACTATAGAAGTGGGTTACCAGGGGCATGCCCTGACGTCACCAATCTTTCCTCCTGGTCCCTCTTTCAGTCTGTCCAGTGATCTACTCAAATCTTTATTAGTGTCCCTGAGTTCCTTCTGATTCTCAACACCTCCAGCATACTCTCTGCATATAACATTTCTCCTCATTTTCCCAAGAAAACAGGAGCTCTAGGGTCTCAAAGATCTCGACTTCCTATCCTCCCTACCCTGGGAGTCTGGTACCTCAGGCCCTCTCTAACCCGGGAATCTGGTACCTCAGGCCCTCTCTAACCCGGGAATCTGGTACCTCAGGCCCTCTCTAACCCGGGAATCTGGTGCCTCAGGCCCTCTCTAACCCGGGAATCTGGTGCCTCAGGCCCTCTCTAACCTGGGAATCTGGTGCCTCAGGCCCTCTCTAACCCGGGAATCTGGTGCCTCAGGCCCTCCCTACCCTGGGAATCTGGTACCTCAGGCCCTCTCTAACCTAGGAATCTGGTACCTCAGGCCCTCCCTAACCTGAGAATCTGGTACCTCAGGCCCTCCCTACCCCAGGGAATCTGGTGCCTCAGGCCCTCCCTAACCCAGGAATCTGGTACCTCAGGCCCTCTCTAACCTGGGAATCTGGTGCCTCAGGCCCTCCCTAACCCAGGGAATCTGGTACCTCAGGCCCTCTCTAACCTGGGAATCTGGTACCTCAGGCTCTCCCTATCCCGGGAATCTGGTACTTCAAGTACTATCCATATCACTATTTTCTATTCTCGGAAGCTGCAGTCTTCTTCTGAGAGTTAAAGATAACTTTCATGCTAATATCTTCTTCCATCTCCTCTAAAACCTCAAAGTCTGGGGCCCCACTCAGGAGCTAAAGCATCTCCAGCTAGCTGACTTGCTGAAACACACTCTGGACTTCAGCCCCATCTCTAGATGACTTTATAGGCACCCTGAAATCAGGAAGCCAGTGCTCTGTAAGTTGGCCTCTGGGCAGCAAGCTCTGCCCTTATTTAATGCGAACCCCTGGAGTCCTGCTCTGCAGTGGGGACCAGCAAACTTTCTATCCTGTAAATCTTTCGGCCACTGTAACATAAAAGCAGGCTTGAACAAGGTGTAAACAAACGGGTTCCCCACCCCCTCAAAGATGCTCTTGAGAAAGGACAGCACAAAAGATGCACATTGGCACGTGTGAGCACGTCCCCTCTCCGGACGCAACTTCACACAGAGCCTGCCGCTGCTCTCTTCAGGACCGCGGTGCAATCCGTCTGTCTGGCACAATCAGAGCCCCACGAGGAGACTTTGAGAGCACACTGCAGGAAGTTGTGAAGATGAAGCCTGGGCTGCATTTTGACACCACAGGATGCTACGATACCTCAGCTGTGAAACCTCCACCATAGAGAGCTGCATGTTGGGAGGAGAGTAACCGAAGGGAGATAGGTATGAGAAGCTGCAGGGGAAACGGGCCGTCTATGCCCTTTGAAACTGATGTCCCCGTCATCAGAGACAGGGTGGCAGGGTTTGGTGCTGCCCCTGCTGGTTTTTAGTCTTTCTCTGGCCCCATCTTTGCCCACTATGTCCCCCGTCCTCTCCTTTAGAATGGTAATGTATACTCCTGATTGCTTTCTTAATGGTTCCAAGTGGAAAAATCCTTCAAGATTTCCCTCTTTCTCCCAACAGTGAATTCAGTTTTTGTCCAAGACCAGTCACATGCTCAGAAGCCGCATGCCAAATTGATATCTTTGTGAACTCCGATACACAACAGTTTCATTAGGGACAGGAGACCCACTCCCAAGTCAGCATGTATTAAACAGCAAGGCCGATTGGTCACTATGATTTGGGGGATTATAAAAGAGAAAAAAAGAGCTCGACAATCCTTGGAAAAGAAGCCTTTCAACCGAATGGCATGAGGCTGTTCTCCACCACTCCTGACACGCTGGGAGCGGCTTATCAGTGAGACCCAGTTTCTCCCATCTTCCTTATCGGAACCTCTGTGAAGTACACAGATGACTAGATCCCATTTTCAGATGCTTAAGCTTCTTATTGCTTATTTGTTTCCATGTGTGCATTCAGATGGAAGCGGACACATGTGGACCACGGTGCTGCCAGATCTGTGCACGTCTACCCCCTGGGATATCGCACTAGCCCACGAATTTGAATTTCTAAAATTTCTCAAGTCCAAGGATTGCATTGCTCAGGAACATTTTAATCATTTGTAAATCCCTCTGGACAAGCACACTTATACAGTAAATGGGGTATAATACCATCCACGGCCTGTTCCTTGGGGCCTAAAAAGAACCCAAGGTCCTTATCTTCTTTACACCCTGATAAAATAAAGTTGAAAGTGAGATTCTAAATATGCTACTTTCTGGGACCTGCTGGCTGATTGATAAAGGCATGATGGCTAATCTTCATTCTCAACTAGACTAGGAGCCACCTGGGAGACACACGGGCGGCATGTCTGTGAAGGTGTCCAGAGAGGTTCCCAGGGAAGACCCACCCTGAAGGCGAGCAGCACCAACCCCTGGGCTGAGGTCTTGGACTGAGTACGAGGGCAAAAGAGGAAAGGAAACCTACTCTGTGCACACATGTCTCCTGCTCTCTGCCTTCTGGGCGCAATGTGATGGCTGCCTCACATGCCTGCCGCACACCTCCCCACCCCCCACATCCCCCATCCCACCCCCACCCCCATTATAGCTGTTCTCACCTCCACGCTTCCCCCTCCACAATGGCTCTGAGCCACCGCATGGGACAAAGTAACCCCTTCCTGTGCTCTCATCAGGACTTTGCCACAACAGTGAGAATTCTGAGGTCAAGTTCGAACCAATGGAAGACTCTCCCTACCTGCCCTTATGTACACCTGGTGGAGCTGCTGCTGCTGCTTCTTCTTGATGCGAGAGTACTGCCGCTTCAGGGCGTTGATGTCTGTGGTCATGCGCTCCATCATCATACTGTTGAAGGCCGCATGGTATTCACTTCGACAGGAATTGATGGCTCCCGGGCTCAGCTCCGCAATGTTGTTGGACCTCAGGCTCTGTTCCTCGCTCGCTTCTGTCCTCGGGGAAGGAACGCGAGGTCAGCGGAGGGGATCCGAGCAAAGGGGAACAGATTTCCCTGCCTCCAGTGTAGTCCCTTAACCCTCGAGAAATTCTAAACCGGGAATTTACCTAGCATTTACCTAGTTTTTGCTTTGCTCCTGCAGTCCCTAACGAGCCTGAGGTGCGTTGATTTTGTGGCCACTTTCTTCAGGATGTAGACAAAAGATCAACTATCTCCAGGTAATAATCAATATACTTTCTAAAAATCCCTCGGAAAAAATACAGTGCAGCAAGTGTTCTATGATAATAACTGTGTGACAGCCTCACATCTCCGTAAGAACCTAGAGGGCTAACCATTTGCAGACGTGCAAGCACATTCTAAAAACAGCACCCTTCCTCAGTGTATGAGACTTTGGAGGACTGTGTCACCAGAAGCAAGTCCTTTTGCACACTGAACATGCACTTCTGACTGTCTGCCATGGATGCTATGTTTGATATAGTTTCTGACCCTGGGACATCCATCTACAGCTAGCAGAACCTTCCCTTAGGTAAAATCAAGATTGTACCCCAAAAAGAGAAACCATTGCTCTGGTGAGTATGTACACCCACAGTCTGCCTGGATGATCAGGGTGAAAGTCTCTAAAGCAATGTCTACAAGTGAGTCTGGGAGCCAATGGAAGAAAGAAGAGATTTCAGCTGTGCTAATATCTGCTAAGATTGTCTCCAGGGGAGAATTGGGCATCTTATAAATTTACTTCATTCGTTACTGAAATCGCGTCTCTAAGGAAAAGAAAATTAAAAGAATGGGTAAGTTGAACAAAATCACTAGGAAGCATATTTATGAGAAAGTGATGGCCACTCTGGTCTAAATTGCACAGAAGAAAACTGACCATAGGCTATGACCAAAACCTTTAGCAATGGGGCTGGAGGGAGACAGCTCAGTGGTTAGGAGCACTTGCTGCACAATTATAAGACCAGAGGTCAGATCTCAGAACACATGTATGTAGCTCAGAGACACACAAACATCTGTAACTCCAGCTCCAAGAGATCTGACAACCCTCTTCTGGCCACTGCATGTACAAAGACATCAACACATATATGTATACTCAAACACACACATGCACACAGGCATTCACACATATATATGTATATATACACAGGCACTCAAGCAGACACATACATACACATGAATAAAATAAATCTTTAAAAATCAAAAGGGTCGGCCGGGCGGTGGTGGCGCACGCCTTTAATCCCAGCACTCGGGAGGCAGAGGCAGGCAGATTTCTGTGAGTTCGAGGCCAGCCTGGTCTACAAGAGCTAGTTCCAGTAGTTCTAGGACAGGAACCAAAAGCTACAAAGAAACCCTGTCTCGAAAAATCCAAAAAAAAATCAAAAGGGTCAATAAAAAGTTATATATCAAAGTAATGATAACTTTTTTAAAAGTTTAACATTAATAATTGAGTACATGTCTAAAAACAAAACAAAATTCAGACAAGCAAGGGTTCAAAAGGTATTACAGAAACCAAGAGGAATCTTGTTGGGCTCAGATTCCCAATGGTTGTTTTAAAGATGGACATAACGCACGAAACACACAAAACAGTGTGAACCCAGTCTTCTTCCCCAAGCCAAACTGTTTTTAACTTTATAATCTTTATTATAAAAAAATTTGCAAATAAATAAAAACTTCACATACCAAAATTAACCAGACCTGAAGTCTATACAACTCAATGAATTTCTATACATCAGTCCAGTCTTCAAGCAGGCTGAAACCCAAAAGGAAGCTGGGCATTGGCTCAGCAGGTACAGTGCTAGCCTGCTATATACAAAACCCTGAGATCAGTCAGTCCTCAGCACCATATAAACCCAGCATGGTGGCACATGCTGTACCAATCCCAGCACTTGGATCGGGGAGGTAACACCCAGGATATTCAAGACTGGAGTGATTTGAATCATTACGACACCATAAGCTCCCTGTGTCTGAATAATCATTCCCCTGCTGGTAGAACTGCTTCAGAAGGATTACAGGTGTGGCCTTGTTGGGGAAGGTGTGTCGCTGGTGGTGGGCTTTGAGGTTTCAAAGGACTCGCCATGTTCAGTGTGTTTTCTCTGACATGTGTGTGGTTGTCTCATGACATGAACTCCTAGCTACTGTTCCCATGCCGTGTCTGCCTGCCTTCCGCCATGCTCCCTGCCATGGTGGTCATGAACTCGACTCTCTGAAACTGTAAACCCCAAATAAACTCTTTCTTCTGTGAGCTGCATTGGTCATGGTGAGTCTTATCACAGCAATGGAAAAGTAACTAAGGCAAAGACTGTCTCAAACAATCTCAAAATGAGCCGAGGTTTGGGTAAAGCATTCGAAACTACCACAGCCAAAGGGCAATACCATCAGCCACCACTGCCACATTCTAAATAATAAACAACAAAAAAAGACAGCTTAATAATCTCAAACCAGTAAAGCTGGTGGCAAAGATAATGCAGAGGGCCTGTGTGTCATTTCTGCCCTCCTTGTACAAGAGAATTGGCCTCCTAATTGGAAGAGGTAGACAAAATATCCAAAGACAGATCTGCCACTCACAACAGGAGAGGACCCTGTGGGGAAAACTACAGGCTGCTTTTCAAAGCTCGTTAGATTGCACTGTCAAGCCCACAGGAAATCACTTCTATGCAGGAAATAGAGTGTGGCCAGATCCAGAGCACCACATTTAAGAGAGACAATCCCAAATCATAGCACATATCAGGTGGATTCACAGACTATCAAAAGGTACAGAGTCATATCTTACAAGAAATGGCCTCTTTCCGAGGACTGGAACCACAGCTCCATGGTAGAGCACTTCCCTAGCATGTGTGGGGTCCTAGGTTCAGTTCCCAGCATGAACAAGAACCAAGGTGGGAGAGAAAGGAAGGAAAGAAGACAGGAAGAGAGGCAGGCAGGAAGGCAGGCATCCCCAGCAAAGGCCTTTAGCAGATGTGAGAGCCATCCTCGAGGGAGAGGAGGAGGCAACTTCCTCTGCTGCTTAGGAGCCCAAGGCTAAGGGGAAGATCTAGTGTCTTGTGACATGATGACTGTCTTGCCATCCAGAAACTAAAACATTCAATCCTAAGCAGAAGAGAGCCCGTCTACGGGCCCCGAATTGAACCCCAGCAGGACGCACTGAGTATAAGCTCTACACGGAGCAGGCAAGGCTGCTTGTTCGGTCAAGCGGCAGTAAGAGTTATCATAAAGGAAACAAAAGGGGTTCTGTATGGGTGACGAGAGATACAGATGGATCCTGCCAAGAGATAAACCATGGAGAAGATGCTTTTATAAAGACTATGGATGGCAGTAGCCAGCCAGAGTCGGGCATCTGCAGGCCCTTGTTCAAATGAACCAACACTATCACACGAAGGCCCCCTTTACCTTTAATCTGCTTTTGGTACTTTTGCAGTTCAGGTGCCAGGAACCCACTGAGAGGCCCAAGGCATCCTACGGCGCTAGCAACGGCATCCTCGTCATCGGGTTCATGCTCCTCGTCACTGTCTCTGGCCTCACCATGTCGCCTTGGAAGAAAAGGAGAAAGAGAAAATGCCGTTGTGTGTGTGTTTGTGTGTTTTTATATTTCCCCTTTTTCCGTGACAATTTTGTTCCTGAGTCTTGCCCAACCTAATTGCCGTAGGTCAGCTCTGTTACCAGCTTCTTTCATATTCTCTAGTTATCTATGCACAGATAAATAGACATAACTGTAGAGTCTGGTATAAATCTGAGAATATACATATATCCCTCTGCACCCTGCTTTTAATTTATTTAAGGAAATATTTCAGTATTTATATCAAGCTTCCTTCATATTTTTCACAGCTGTATTATATCTACACAGCTCACATTAATGAGCCAGGCTGCTAATTCACACGCCCGTGTGTGTGTGTGTGTGTGTGTGTGTGTATCTGTGTGTCTGTGTGACTTTCTGGCCTTTATAAAGAGTGTTCTAAATCAGCTCATGCATCAACTGGTATGCCAGTTTCACCCTGTTTAAGTTACTGAGATTTTAAGTATTTTGCAGTCTTAAATACATTGCAGGTTTACTACTTTTTTTTCTTCAGTTCATGTCCCACCTCGTGTGGGAAGCACACTTTGAACAGCTCTGTTGAATCTGAGTCTGTAAACCTTTGGGAAAGGGTCCTTCGGGTTCTAAGTACCAAGTTAGTTTGTATATGTTCAAGGGCTTAAGTGTCACCTTGCAATAACAAAACGAGGAAAAACAAAAAGCCACTTACCGGGAAACTGACATGGGCTTCACTGTGACTGGGAATGGTGTGATGTTGTAGGTATACTTTTCCCTCAGCTCCGCCAGCTGTGGGAAAGGGAACGGAGCCATCGAATAAACAGTCTGGAAGACAAAAGTGAAATTGCCAAGTCTTAGATGGTGACCTACCAACTCCATGAGTCCTGTGTGAAAGGGGTTGATGCTCCAACAGCTGGAGGCCGAGGAGAAAGATATTGCTCCTCATGCGATATCTTCTTTGAAGAAAGACAGAAGTGTAAGGCAGGGATGTGAATATAACTCAGTCAGTAGAGCGCTTGCCTAGTATGTCTGAAGCCGAGTCCAGTCCCCAGCATACATAAACACGGCATGGATGGTGCATGCCTATAACCCCAGGAGCAAAAGACAAGAAGAAGGGGTCATCCTTAGATAAGTAGTTCATTTGAGGCCAGACTAGGCTGTATGAGATCCTATATAAACAAAATAAAATGAAGCCAGGAATTGCAGATTGGGTACCATCTCTAAGCCTTGATGCAAAGGGCTCCAAAATCTGAGGCATTTAGAGCACCAACATCATGTTCCCCCCCCCCAAAAAAAGTTCACATCTGATCCATGCAATGGGTTACAGACAAAAATAGGGATATACTCAAAATATGGTATAATACTACCTTCAGACACAAGTATGAAAATTGTATAACATAAAAATAAATCTTATGTTTAGATGTGTGCTCCATACCCAAGATCTCTCACTGCACACTTGCGAAGATCCCCCAAATCTGAGTTATTTCTAGTCCAAGCACTTCAGATAGGGGACATTTAACCCGTACTGCTAAACACAAGTGACCCCACAAACAGCCAGCTGCGTGCAGCGGAGCATTCAGAATGAGGAGCATGGGTGGGGGAATCGGGCATCTAGCATCCTCTTGAGAGTGTGTTATAGCCCATACTGTGATGTCTATACCAAAGAACCTACACATGCTCCTCCAAGGTCTGGCTTCTTTAAAGTGTTTTGATAATGCCCACGGGCAATTAACATCAGCTTTCTGAATAAAATTAAGTTTTGTGGATGACCTTGTGACTTACGGCAAGCGTTCCCCCAAAGAACCACCTTTTCAAAAGCCTGTGAATGAGCTCTAAGAGAAAACTGCTGTTTTTTTAAAAGGGAAAAAAAGACAATAACAAGTTATCAAGCGCAGGCCATCAAAAATCCATAAATAAAAACAAAGGAGCTGGGTGTGGTCGCTCACACTTGAATCCCAGCACTAGGGAGGCAAAGGCAGACAGAGCTCTGAGTTTGAAGCCAGTCTGGTCTAGACAGGAAGTTCCAGGACATCCAGAACTATCCTGTCTCCCGAAAGCAGGAATGGGGAGACACTTGGTCTTACACCAGGATTTTAAAACTCCGCATCTTTCCATTACCATGACGGGAAGAATTCTGCTGGCTCTCTTTCTCTTAAATTTTAAGTGCTCCACACTCAGTAACAACCCTTCAGTTTTCACTCACCAGCGTGTCTAGATTAATCATACTTTAATTTCCCCACAGAAGCAAATCAAACCTCCCAATGAGGGGCTGAAAAATGACTTAGCAGTTAAGAGTACTTGCTGCTCGTGCAAGGACTGGGGCTCAGTTCCCAGCACCCACATGGCAGCTCACAACAGCCTCTGTGTGACTCCAGTTCCTGGGGATCCAGCTCCACCTTTTGTCCTTCACTGACCTAGGTGTACACACAGTGAACACATATTCAAATAGGTGGAGTGCTCATGAATATTTATAAAGATAACTAAATCTTTTTAAACAATACGTGCTGATGAGCCTTTTCTAGGAGAGTCTTTTTAGGTGGTTTGTCCATTTCAGCAAGACTGTTCCTTCGGAGCCGGGATGTGGCATGGTGGGAACGGGAGGACTCTGAACGAAACGTGATCGGTGCCGCGGCTCACATGGTGGTTCGGTGCTGTGGCTGTGACAGTTCACACCTGTCCTTCTGCTGTCCCCAAACGTCACCTATATACTTTCTACAGCAATTCAAGGTTCCAAACAAGCATTGGCTAAAACCCCTTCCCCTCGATGCTTTATGCAAAGCCGCGCAGCCTACAAGAGCACCAACCTTGTTTTTAAGCCGTCTGCTCACATACACTACGTGCTTGCTTATCCACAGGGCTGAGACGCAGCATAAATTTAGCAACACTACACAACTCTTCCCACGCCCTCAGCAGAAACAGAAGGCTCCTTGTGACTCCCATTAGCAAAGTGCGAGATGACATCAACCCCCAGCCTCTCCGGGCATCCTCGCCTAGTCTGAAAAATGCAGGGTGTGAAGCTCAGGAAGACAATTCCCTACAGCAGGAGGGGTAGTTACAGTCAGGGAGCAGTGCACATGGTGTGCACATGCATGTCCGTGCGGTGAGCACGTGCGTGTCCATACAGTGAGTGTGTGCATGTCTGTGGATTAAGCACACATGTGTCTGTTCAGTGAGCGCATGCGTGTCAGCGTTTAGATTCTTAACTTGAGCCATGTTTGTATGGATTTTGTGATACTACACTTAACACACTCTGTGTGCCTAAGCGCGCCATGTAATTGTATTAGTAGTGAATTCTCATGTTTGATCTCACAAAGATAACCAGCAGCTGGCTCACTTCCAGTGCAGAGTTCTCCACACAGCCTTTCGAAGACATGTGGGCATGTGCAACCCTAGTCTCGGAACCCTAACTTTGGACCAAGATGTCAGTCGGGAAGAAGAGAGTCAACTGAGTCTGACCACACACACACCAAATGTCCTCCCCAAACTGAATGCCCCTGTCATTCATATAAACTTTTATCTGAGCAACTGAGAAACTTGACTTAAGCAGCTAAGAAATCACATCATTCATATTTTGTTTTAAAAAATTACCTGCCCTCCAAAAAATGTGAATACTTTCACTAGGAATTTCAAAATTGCTTAAGAATTAGCCTAGATGTCTCACTGACTAAAACCAGGCACTGGCTCATGGTTTTCTTCAGCTTGCGTTGTGTACACACAGGGATCTGTAGTCTCCTAATCCCCCTCGCGGAGGACAGCTACAGGGGAGAAATGAGCAGTAGCTGCCTGTGCCTCTGCTCTCAGCCCATCCTGCCTGGGACGGGGCGGGGGGGGGGGGGGGGTGAGGGGTTCCAACCAGGGATCATCAGAGCCACTCGGGTGAACACTCCTGACACACGAAAGGGCCTCTTGCTGGGCCTGCGGTTCCATGTTCCCTCTTTATCTGTGGTTAGTGCCTCGAAGTAGCCGCTGGTACCCTGAAACCAGCTCAGCCACAATCCTTCCTCACAGAGACACACTTATGTGTGTGACGGTCTCACATGGGTACACTTATGTGTGTGATGGCCTCACAGAGACACACTTATGTATGTGACAGCCTCACAAGGACACACTTATGTGTGTTACGGCCTCACAGGGGCACACTTATGTGTGTTACGGCCTCACAGGGACACACTTATGTGTGTGATGGTCTCACAGGGACACACTTATGTGTGTGACGGCCTCACAGGGACACACTTACGTATGTGACAATCTCACAGGGACGTGTGTGATGATCTCACAGGGACACACGTGTGTGACAGCCTCACAGAGACACACTAATGTGTGTGATGGTCTCACAGAGACACACTAATGTGTGTGATGGTCTCACAGGGACACACTTATGTGTGTGACGGTCTCACAGGGACACACTTATGTGTGTTACGGCCTCACAGGGACACACTTATGTGTGTGACAGTCTCACAGAGACACACTAATGTGTGTGATGGTCTCACAGGGACACACTTATGTGTGTGATGGTCTCACAGGGACACACTTATGTGTGTTACGGCCTCACAGGGACACACTTATGTGTGTGACAATCTCACAGGGACACACTTATGTGTGTGACAGCCTCACAGAGACACACTAATGTGTGTGATGGTCTCACAGGGACACACTTATGTGTGTGATGGTCTCACAGGGACACACTTATGTGTGTGATGGTCTCACAGGGACACACTTATGTGTGTTACGGCCTCACAGGGACACACTTATGTGTGTGACAATCTCACAGGGACACACTTATGTGTGTGACGGCCTCACAGGGACACACTTATGTGTGTTACGGCCTCACAGGGACACACTTATGTGTGTGACAATCTCACAGGGACACACTTATGTGTGTGACAATCTCACAGGGACGTGTGTGATGGTCTCACAGGGACACACGTGTGTGACAGCCTCACAGAGACACACTAATGTGTGTGATGGTCTCACAGAGACACACTAATGTGTGTGATGGTCTCACAGGGACACACTTACGTGTGTGACTGTCTCACGCAAGCATGAGGGTCCCTAGTAAATCGCTCGCAGCACTTGGTACTTAGAAAGCTCTAGGCATTCAGCTTATAGGTCAGTGATTTACAAGAGATTCCAAGTAAGGCTTTTTACTAAGTCTCTTGGAGGCCACATGCGGTGCAGTAACAGAATCTGAGAGTCCGAAGGGAAGGGAAACATGATTGAGCTCAGAGTTCCTCCTCGTCCCACAGGAACCCTTCTGGAGCGTCACCAACAGAGGCCTCAAAGGCACTGCCTGAACACTTCCAGTTACGGGCACACACTACTGTAGGGCAGATGGCTTCCATTTTTGACAGAGCTAATTAATCAAACATCATCCTTCTATTGAACAAGCACCAACATCCTTGACATTTCCAGTCCCTCGCTGTTGGAGGAAAAGTGAACAGCGTAGGCCCAGGGGCAGATCGGGCCCCACTCGTGACAGCTGCCTCCAGATGACAGTTTGTTGTCCAAACAAGGTCAGGGTTTCAAAACACCTACAGCCCTTCTAGTAATTTTCCCTACATTGCCCTCAAGGAATTTACCAGAGATACTGTCCACAATCTACTGTGACCCAGACACCGTATGTCCTTAGTATCCCTCAACCTCCCTGTCTATTGTTACCAATTAAAGAAAATCAGAAGGGCTGGTGAGATACCTCTGCTGGTACCTCTAAGTCTGATGACCTTGAGTTCAACCCCTGAGACCCGCACAACAGGAGAAAAGAATTCGCCCTGGACTGTGCTCCGTGGCACATGTATATCAGCAAACACATGCACACACACAAATAAATAAAGACATAAGATTTTTTTTAATATCTAACGGCTGATGTAAAATCAGTGAAAGGTGATGTGACCTATGCAGGGAGGAGAGGTTCAGATCCAGTATATTCGTCTGTGTACAGTGTTTAGAGAGGACTGGGGAAGGTCCAGGTGGAAGAATTCCTACATCCTCTTCAGCTCAAAAGTAAAAACCTTGTATTCAGCTCACAAGTGTCCTGCGAAGCCATTTCAAGTGTGCTGAGAGATTTATGGTTCACTATAGCGGGATCAGCCACTGATTTTTTTTTTTTAAAGAGCGAATAAAGAAAAGCAAGTGACTTGAAATGGCGTTTGCCATCTCTGTCTCTAACACTGCTTCATGCCAAGGAAAACCGGCAAGCTGACTCTCGGAACTACTAGCGTGCATTTAAATAGACGTTTATATTTAGGCCCTGTTGAAAAGGAGTTACGTTTCCTTTCCCACTATTGACACGTTTAATGAGAAACATGGAAATGTAATGTGTAAAATTAGGCTTTGCTGGTCTTCCCACAGATGACGGGAGAAATGCTTGCTGTTGATGTGAGCCTTGCAGACCATCCAGAGCCTACAACACTCCCTCAGAAGACACAGCTAAAATCCACCCCCTCTCCTAATGCTTAGTAAGAAACGTGGGCTTCACCCTGCACTGGTGGCTTCAACACACACTGTCCTGGTTCGCGCCTCTGTTGCCGTGATAAACACCATAACAAAATCCAATGTAGGAAGAAAGGGCTGATTTCACCATACAAGGTCACAGGCCTTTGATGAGGGAAATCAGGGCAAGAGCTCAAACAGGAACCTGTCCGGTGCTCCCGTCAGAAATCTCAAGGTCCAAATCAGGAGCAGAAGGAGACGGAGCACGAGCAAGGAACTCAGGACCACGAGGGGTGCACCCACACACTAAGACAATGGGGATGTTCTATTGGGATCTCACCAAGGCCAGCTGGCCTAGGTCTGAAAAAGCATGGGATAAATCCAGACTAGCTGAACATAGCGGACAATGAGGAATACTGAGAACTCAAGAACAATTGCAGTGGGTTTTTGATCCTACTGCACGTACTGGCTTTGTGGGAGCCTAGGCAGTTTGAATGCTCACCTTAGGAGACCTGGATAGAGGTGGGCAGTCCTTGGGCTTCCCACAGGTCAGGGAACCCTGATTGCTCTTCGAGCAGATGAGGGGGGGGGGGACTTGATCGGGGGAGGGGGAGGGAAATGGGAAGCGGTTGTGGGGACGAGGCAGAAATTCTTAATAAATAAATAAATTAAAATAAAAAAAAAAAAAAAAAAAAAACAGGAACCTGGAGGCAGGAACTGAGGCAGAGACCATGGAGGAATGCTGCTCACTGGTTTGCTCAGCTTACACAGCTTTTATACAGCCCAGAACCATGCACTCACAAGTGGCACCACCCACAGCGGGAAGAGCCCTCCTATATCAACCACCCATCAAGAAAATACCCCACAGACTTGCCTCCAGGCCAGTCTGATGGAGGCATCTTCTCAGTTGACATCCCCTCTTCCCAGATGACCCTAGCTTGTGTCAAGTTGACAAAACACATGGACACAGATGTGCTGTGTAACATATGTGCAACCCCAATATACAGGCACAGGGCTGGACAACCCCTATTTATCTTTAAAGGTGAAACCAGACATTAATTCCCTCATGGAAGCATCCTCTAACTTCATCTCCCTTCCCGCTATTACCTTGGAGGCCTGGGAATTAATTTTCCTTCTCCTCAGTCCTAAACACCTCTCAGTGTGCAACCCCAACTTCCTCTTCCCACGTGTGTCTCCAATATCGAAGCCCAGGACCTAACTTTCAGGGAAATCAATATTGGAGAAGTTCCAATTCAAAGGACAATGTAACAATGAAGAGACCAGAGCAAGAAGAGAATGATCACTCTGGCTGCAAAGAGCCAGCTACAGCAGCGCTAAGAAACTATAGCAGGGCCATCCTCTATGACTGAAAAAAAAAAAAAGGCAGAAAACAAACCATGGATTCTCAATAAATATTTGCTTCAGGAATTAATAAGCTTTCTGAGCAACTCTCATCTCAAGAACAGAAAGCTAAGCATGGGCCCTGTCTTCAAGGAACTTACGAACCTTAGAGAGGACATGAGCTGCAGCAGTCTTAGACGCAGTAGAATGAGGTCAACGCTCCTGTGAGAGGCTTAAATGAAAGCGTAAAATGGGCACTTCTAGTACAGATGAAGAGAGAAACTTCATGAAGGGCAGATACTTCCTGAAGGAAGATATCTGAGCTCAGGAGAAGCAAGACTGTACAAGGAGGGCAAAGGGCTGGAGGGCTGTGTTTCCAGTCACTGGAAAACCATCGAACCCAACATAAAAGGGACGAGCAGACACCCCGCCTGAAGGGGAGATGGGGGGGGCACAGTATGATAGTATGATGAGTTTGTGCTGTGAGGAGCCCTCAGCGTGTCATAGAAGAGGAAGAAGGGCTCATCTCGCCCCAAATCCTGCTTGGAGCACATGATTCCAGCAGTTTTGTAAGACTTCATGAATATCATGCATGGAAAACGCCAGGCATGGAGCTGGGCCACAGAACAATGCTCAGTAAAAGAGTCATCCCTCTCAGAGAGGAGAGCAAAGACCAGTATATATGAGAGGTGCTAAAATCAGAGCCCAGTCGTCAGGGTCACACACACAATTCCTCTTTTGAGACAGGAAAGAAAGTTGAGCCTCAACGGCACATGGAGATTCAAACATGGATGCCTAGGGAAGTTATATCAGACTGTCAGTATTCCCAAAAATCAGACAAGTTCAGCTAGGAGCAAGAGTTCCTGAGAAGGACCTGTGGGATCAGGAGATGAATAGAGGAATGCTACTCATTTCTCCAGCCCTAAGTCAGTGCTTGAGTCTTAATTATAGTCTCTCAGATGAATTCCAGCATCCATAATGACCATAGGCAGGAAACCCAAAATGAAGGTGGCACCAAGAGAAATAGGAGAGAGAAAAGAAAGCAAGTCCAGGGGACAGTTTTGGATATAATCCACATGTGATCTGGGACAAGAGGGAGAGGCAGAAAGATCAGAAGGAGCCCAAAGCACCGAAGAGAACAAGGATAAAATGATCTCCCAGAATGTAGTGGAAAAGCACACCAGAAAAATAACCAACCCTCGTGTCTCGCACAGAGACTTATAATTAATGCAGGATAGCACCAGCTGACCATAAACCGAGATGCAGACTGATTTCCATCTCGCCCTCCCTTCTCCTCATAAATACATCACCCATCAGTCTTCCTGTAACAGGTCTCAGAAGCCGGGCCAGCAAGATGGCTCAGCAGGTAAGAGGGCTTGCCACACAAGTCTGACAAGCTCTCTGCAGAGGGACAGAAACAACCCTTAAGGGTTGCCCTCTGACCTCCGCAAGGGTGCCGTGATATGCACGCTCCTGCACTCACACAGAATATGCTCATCAAGCAATAATAAAGGTTCCTTTGATCTCGGAATCAGATTCTCAATGAGTACCTGACGACTTTGGTTTTTCCCAGTTTTTTTGTTTTGTTTTTACCTTGTACCTAAGCAAGTCTAGGGATCAAATAGCCATTTGTTTCTTCCTTCCTCTTGTGATGAAGATTCTCAACAATTATAGATTCTTGGCCAATGGAATATCTAAGTCAGAGGACTGGCCCAATACATTTCTCAAAGGTCGGGGCTCAGAAAAGCATCATCTGTCACTCCCTCGGTCTTGGGGTTCCTATGCCCACACTGCCCAGACTGCCCACAATGCCCATAGTGCCCGCACTGCCCGCACTGCCCGTACTGCCCGCACTGCCCGTACTGCCCGCACTGCCCGCACTGCTCGCACTGCTCACACTGCCCACACCGCCCACAGTGCCCCCGCACCGCCCGCACTGCCCACACTGTCCACACTGGCGACAGATGCCCACACTGCTCGCACTGCTCACACTGCCCACACCGCCCACAGTGCCCCCGCACCGCCCGCACTGCCCACACTGTCCACACTGGCGACAGATGCCCACACTGCTCGCACTGCTCACACTGCCCACACCGCCCACAGTGCCCCCGCACCGCCCGCACTGCCCACACTGTCCACACTGGCGGCAGATGCCCACACTGCCCGCACCGCCCGCACCGCCTGCACTGCTCACACGCTGCCCATGCTGCCCATGCTGCCCGCGCCGCCCACACCGCCCGCACCGCCCACACACGGCCCGCACTGCCCGCACTGCCCGCACCGCCCGCACTACCACTCACCTGCATGAGTTCCTGGCTCTGCAGGAGGTCGTTTTCCAGCATCTCCTGGGTAAGACGCCCCATGGTGCTGTAGAACTCATCTGCGGTTTCACAACACTCTATCTGCCTAGACGAAAAACAAGACAGAAAGGGGACTCGGTCAGCGCACCGAGCGCACGTGCACCTCTCTCATCATCCAGCTGGTCGACAGAAGTATGAGCTCTGCCACACTCCTGCGATGTAGTCTGCTATGGAGGAAAGAGCAAAACTACCAAGGGCAAGGTGGTCATGGTCAGCATTCCTGCATACCAACTACTAAGAAGGCTGACTTTGAGCCCACAGTTCAAGACCAGCCTGGGAAACATGGCAAGACCTAACTTTATTTAAAAAAAAAAAAAAAGCATGAAGACAAAACAAAACAAACACCGAAAGTAATTTTGAAGTAGTCACTACAGAATGAGCGCCCATCTTCCCTGCACAGCTCCCTGAGCCTCGCAGCCCTGTCGGGAGTCTTTACTCTTTATTCTTCCCACGTGGCACATCCTCTGTATCAAAGTACACACCAGTGACCAGAAATCAGAACCACAAAATTAGGAACTGAAAAGCAATTATCCCCTGTAGAAAACTAGTCAACCCTCCTCTGCAGGGACAGCATCAACAGGCGGAGTTCGAACCACAGTGGAATTAAAGAGGACAGGAACTTCTCATCGGTCTACAGATCGTTTTCACAGGCTTCACCGAATTCTTCTCAGGGAAGTGGCTGCCACCTCAGAAACTATGAGACAGGTGAGATTTTAATCTGTCTTCTAAGGAGGAGGAAAGGAAATGACACAAGACTGGGTTCTAGGAGTCTCCAATTTCTCCAGTACAAAGGTTTTTGCATGATAGGATAACTCCATTTGCCCACTAACCATAAGGCGTGTGTTGACAGGCACAAATGCTGGGCAATTTTCACAGAGTCGTTAAAAAACTGTAATGAGAAAATCGCAGACTCAAATCCCTCGGTAGCACTGTGCAAATAAGAACGTGAAATACAGTGGGGAAGGCCGTTAGGGATAGAGCAGGCAAGGGGACATGATGGTGGGGAAGGCTGTTAGGGATAGAGCAGGCAAGGGGACATGATGGTGGGGAAGGCTGTTAGGGATAGAGCAGGCAAGGGGACATGATGGTGGGGAAGGCTGTTAGGGATAGAGCAGGCAAAGGGACATGATGTTGGGGAAGGCTGTTAGGGATAGAGCAGGACAAGAAGACATGATGGTGGGGAAGGCTGTTAGGGATAGAGCAGGACAAGGGGACATGATGGTGGGGAAGGCTGTTAGGGATACAGCAGGACAAGGGGACATGATGGAAAGTAGTTATGCTCCCTCTGCAGGGAGAAAACAGAACAAAAATGCTTGGGATGAGCTTTGAAAAGATGCTCTGTGGTTGCCAAGGAGAATGCAGCATTGCAAAGGCCTGAGGCAGAGACAGGCCTTTGTGGGACCTCTTTGCTGATGTTAATGGGAGGGAAATTACTGCAGGGCCAGAGGGAACCCGTGAGCCTTGAAAGCTGAACGCTGCAGACCACTGTGGCCCTGTCTATCTTCTTTTTTTTTTTTTTTTTTTTTTTTTGGTTTTTAGAGACAGGGTTTCTCTGTGGTTTTGGAGCCTGTCCTGGAACTAGCTCTTGTAGACCAGGCTGGTCTCGAACTCACAGAGATCCGCCTGCCTCTGCCTCCCGAGTGCTGGGATTAAAGGTGTGCGTCACCACTGCCCGGCTCCCTGTCTATCTTCTAAGCCTCTGCAGGACACAAGTTTTTAGTAGAGAATGAGGAAGAGCCATGCCCTAGGGGTGGCTTAGCATATTTGGGGCACAATTAGCAGCACTGAGGAGGACATATGCCAAGGGGGAGGTGATGGTGTGCCAGTATGGGAAGTCATAGGAGAAAGGCAGACAAAGAGACGCTGTCACAGTGAGGTGGCAGAGAATTCAAAATGGTTCTGGGGAGGGAAGGAAGGAATTCTCGGCTGCAGAAACAAGGCAAGTAGAGGGGCCCTTCAGACAATACAAGGCACACAGAGACCCAAGGTTGCCTACACACCATGGATATTTTCCTGGTGCTACGTCTCTGAGGAAGTTTTACAGGCACTGGAGTGTGAAGCTCCAGGCGCCAGCACCAGCCCCACTTCTCAGTAGCAGCGCGACTGTGAGCGAGTTAATTAACCTTCTCGGGATGATTTTCTCGCTTGAAAAGGCAGGGAGGAATAATCTCCCCAGCTCTGCCAGGTTATTGAGAGAACCAAATGAGATAATATACTCAAGCTGCCTACTGTAATGACAGGTGCTGTCAGCACTGGATGGATGTTGGTGGCCTTCCCTTGCTCCTTACAAGTCGCAAGCTGAAGAGATGTATAATTATCACGAGCGAAACCCCTGAAACACTTGCAGTTCATAAACAGGAGCCATTTCTGAGCATGGGGATTTGCATAATGAAAAGCAACAATTCGAGAGCCAGGATGCCTCGGTTCAAAACTGCATCTCCCACTTACAAAATGGGTGATTTAAGGCAATTCATTAAACTCTGTGCCTCCATTCTCAGCTCTGTAAAATGAAGGTGGGCTGGGGAGATGGCTCCGCAATTAAAAGTGCTTGCTGAGTTCGGTCCCCAGCATCCACCTTAAGTGGCTCACAACTGCCCTAATCCCAGCTCTCAGAGGACCCAGCACACGGCAGGCAAGCTCTCCGTGAGTGCCAGTTCTTACTTGCTGCCATTATGATTTCACCAGTGACTATCCTGCCACCACCCAGGAATACATTCTGCTGTGGCAGGAAGTGAGCAGAGGGAAGCAGTAGAATCACCCCGTTTGTTATACACACAGGAAGCACACGGTGTAGAGCAGGCCGGAAATACGTGAGTGCAGAAAGAATGCATATGGGGGGAAGTGAAAAGACAAAGTAAATGGCACAGCAAACCTCACAGAGGCAAAATTGTTGGCTTGTCCGGAAATCGCCGCACAATAAGATAAAGGCGAAAGATGGCAGCTCTGAGAGCAGTTAAGACAACAAAAGGGTCAAGGGATACAGGTCGGAAAAGGAGCAGTCAAACTCTCACTGTTTGCTGATGAGATGATGGTTTACATAAGCGACCCCAAAAAGTCTACCAAGGAACTTCGACAACTCATAAACAGTTTCAGTAATGTAGCAGGATATAAGATTAACTCAAAGAAATCAGAGGCCCTCATGTACACAGATGATAGATGGGAAGAGAAAAAAAATCAGAGAATCAACACCCTTCACAATAGCCACAAATAGCATAAAATATCCCGGAGTAACTCTAATCAAACAAGTGGAAGACTTGTATGACAAGAACTTTAAATCTTTGAAGAAAGAAATTGAAGATACCAGAAAATGAAAAACCTCCCACGGTCTTGGGTAGGCAGAATTAACATAGTAAAAATGGCAATCTTACCAAAAGCAATCTACAGATTCAATGTAATGCCCAGCAAAATTCTTCATAGGCCTTAAAAGAACAGTACTCAACTTCATATAAAAAAGCAAAGAACCCAGGATAGCCAAAACAATACTGTACAATAAAGAAACTTCTGGAGGCATCACAATCCCTGACTCTACTACAAAGCTACAGTGCTGAAAACAGCCTGGTATTGGCATAAAAACAGACAGGAGGACCAATGGAATCAAATCGAAGACCCAGATATTAATTCACACAGCTATAAACACCTGATTTTTGACAAAGAAGCAATAAATACCAAATGGAAAAAAGACATCATATTTAACAAATGGTGCTGGCATAACTGGATATCAACATGTAGAAGAATGAAAATAGATCCAATCTATCACCATGCACAAAACTCAAGTCCAAATGGATCAAAGGCCTCAACATAAAGCCAACCACACTGAAGCTAATAGAAGAGAAAGTGGGAAGTACACTTGAACGCATTGGCACAGGAGACCACTTCGTAAATATAATCCCAGGAGCACAGACACTGAGAAAAACAATTACTAAATGGGACCTCCTGAAACTGAAAAGCTTCTGTAAAGCAAAGGATACACACAGTCAACAAAATAACACAGCGGCCTACCGAATGAAAAAAGATCTTCACCAACCCCACATAAGATAGAGGTCTGATCTCCAAAATATACAAAGAACTCAAGAAATTGGTCATCAAAAGAACAAATAATCCAATAAAAAATGGAGTACAGACCTAAACAGAGAACTCTCAACAGAGGGATCTAAACTGGCTAAAAGACACTTAAAGAAATGTTCAACATCCTTAGTCATCAGAGAAATGCAAATCAAAACAACTCTGAGATTTCATCTTATACCTGTAAGAATGGCCAAGATAAAAAACACTGATGACAACTTATGCTGGAGAGGATGTGGGGAAAAGGAAACACTTCTGCATTGCTGGTGGGAATGCAAGCTAGTACAGCCCCTTTGGATGTCAGTGTGGTGATTTCTCAGAAAATCAGGAAACAACCTTCCTCAAGACCCAGCAATACCACTTTTGGGTATATATCCAAAGGATGCTCAATCGTACCAGGACATGTGCTCAACTATGTTCATAGCAGCATTGTTTGTCATAGCCAGAACCTGGAAACAACCTAAATGCCCCTTGACCAAAGAATGGATAAGGAAAACGTGGTACATTTACACAATGGAGTACCACACAGCAGAAAAAATAATGGCATCTTGAAATTTGCAGGCAAATGGATTGATCTAGAAAACATCTTTTTGAGAGAGGTAACCCAGACCCAGAAAGACAAATATCATATGTACTCACTCATAAGTGACTTTTAGACATAAAGCAAAGAAAACCAGCCTACAATTCATAATCCCAGAGAACCTAGACAACAATGAAGACCCTAAAAGGGACATACAGGGATCTAATTTACAAGGGAAGTATAAAAAGATCTCCTGAGTAAATTGAGAGCTGGAGGACCATGGGAGAGGATATAAAGGGAGGGGAGAGGAAGAGGGGAGCAACGAAAAATGTATAGCTCAATAAAATCAATAAAAAAAGATGGCAGCTATGTGATGTTTACAAATACATATATTAATGATTTTTTAAACCCTAGAATTGATAGTTTCTGGATTTTTCCTTGTAAAAGTTCTTTCCAGAAAAAAGTTATAAATAAAAAGTCTAGCTAAAAGCTTTCAAAACAGAGTGGGCAAGATGGCTCAGTGGGTAAAAGAGCTGCCAAGCCTAGCAACTGGTGCCCCACACTCAGAATCCAAATGGTGCAAGAAGAGAACCAGCTCCTGCAAGTTGTCTTCTGACTGACATATGCCACAGCACTGCGCACCCATGCACATAAAGACACATAAATAAGTAAGTGTAATTTTTAAAACATTTACAGAAAAACACTGCCCGTGGTTTGCTAGTGTTCTGTCATGTTGTCATGGATGCCTGCTCAAGTCATTCACGGGAAATTTCTCTGCTTCTTGAGTTGGCTATAAATGAGCAGAAACTGCCATCTTTCTCACTACCAGGAAGGAAAATAAGTGAAATCTGGTTGGTATCATGCTATGGCGGAACCAGATTTGAACATCTAAGAGATTCCTCATGAATGGAAGGGAAGCACCTTCTATTGGGCTGCTTACTCTGCAAGCATAGATACACCTCTCGCTGGCTATGTAAACATAGACAAATATACCACCTCCTACTGGCTGTAACAAGCACAGGTACAGTTTGTGCAGGGACTCTCATTTAATTTCATCCCAGCTCCGAAGGCAGAACAAAGTGAATAATAAAGATTCATAAATGACCCAAGAGCCAGGTGTAATGATCCACACCTATAATCCCAGCACTTGGGAGGTAGAGACTGGGAATTGGGAGTCGAAGGTCACTCTCCACTTCATAGTAAGTTGAGGCTAGATAAAACTTTGTCTCAAGAAATAAAATAATCCCAATTGTTATGTGTGACGGCAAGTCTGCCTATTTCTTTACAGATACAGCCGTTTCTTCTCTAGCTATGCCCCCCATCCCTCCTCTGGAAAGCCTGAGGATGGTCAAATACTGCAGAGACGATCTTGAGGAAGCCTTCCATCCCAGACGAGAGTCCCTCTCTCCCAGAAATGCCGGCTGGGCTGGCCGAGGTTCCTGGAGACTAACACAGTTCACAGCAGCCTACAGTTCGCTCGCTCTCACACAAACATGCCAATGTTTCACACTGTAGAGCCCAAAGACTGCTAACACCGGAGTGCAGCTACCACTTACTCTCCCAGCTTTGCCCAGATCGCCAGCGACACCCTCAGGATGACCTCTGAGCCTTCAAAGAAGACTGAGTCCCAGATCTTCAAAACCGTGTGGTTAGGGAGGCACGTGGCAAAGAGAGTGAGAAACCACTGCATCGTGAAGACGTTGGTGAGCGGGGGCTCATAGCCACCTGAAACAAAACAGAAGTCCTCCAGAATGGAGATCTGTAAGACGCAGTGCCCGTTCTCTCTTCCACGCCACCCAAACAGTGCTGCTTCCCGGCTCTTTCCTCCTTTTCCCCTCTTGTGTTTCTAGAATAAACATTTTACAGAAAATTCCAAGGCTTGACTGTCATAAATTCTTCGCCACGCTTCACAGAGTTTTACCTGCACTAGACCTGGGTCTTCTTATCAAAGGCTGCTTAAGAGTAAGGAGAGTTTTCCTCACCAAAAACATTGTGAAAACAACTGATTGTAACTTCTCAAAAACAAACACAAGGGCTGGGAGTAGAGTGGTAACGTAGTGCTCACCTGGCACCTCGGAGATCCAGGTTCAAACTCCAGCACCGCCCAAACAGAAAAACAAAACAAAATGCCAGCAAACTTTCAAAATCTTATAGTTCCCACTTTAATCAAATGCAGCTATAATGATTAAAATTCTTTATTATAAATTACTTATCTCTTAAGTTATATAATTCCCAGATCACAATTGAAAGAGAGAAAATAAGCTGGAAAAGTTCCAAAATGTTTAAATGTTAAACAGCTCTAAACATTAAACTATTTTGAACTAAGTGATACATAGAAGACATTTAAAGACACATCTAAGTCTTGGCCCATTTTGAAATTTCTGACTTGACTAAAAGCTTTGGGCGACTATAAATGTCTATTAGATTTTTAGATGTATGCTTCCAATGACTGTCAATAAGTACAACTATCTAAGAATAAGTAAAAACAAAACAAACACTTTCTTCTTTCCTGTGAACAAATATTTGGGCAGAGACTAGATTCTGAGGTTATTCCTTGTGATCAAGAGCAAAGGAACTTGAAGAAAAACATGGATTTCAATTGCTTGTATCTGCCACTACCTTGAACGTACAGTTATAGTACCGCCAAGCCACACAAGAAGATCCTTCGAGACATGCAGATGTCTCAAAACCTCCAGTGTATTTTAATAACAACTACATCTTCACAACCCATTAATATAGCTGGGTATGCTGGTACAAACTAGTCATTTCTGTACTAAAAGGCTGAGGCAGGAGGATTTCTGTTAAATCTGAGGCCAGCATGGGATACACAGTGAGACCCTGCCTCAAAAACAACAAAATCCTTCTGTGTGCCCCCTCATTATTGTCATTTCACCTCTTTTTTTAGGGGGGTAGTACAAGGGATCAAACCTAGGGCCTCAACACATGCTGGATAAACACCGCCACTGAGTGCAACCCCAGCCCTGTGCTCCCAGCTTTAAATGATCAGGCCAGGCTGCAAGTGCAGTCTACCACAGCGACTGACAATCTCAGAAGTGCCCCACGCAGGCACATTATAGCAAGGAGGGGCCAGGGGGCCCAGAGACACTCTTCTCTAACCTTATTGCTTCTACCGAGGTCACGGTCTGCGCCAAACAGCACTGCGCCTGTAGCTCAGTTTAACAAAGTCCTCCTGGTGCCAGTTTAGCTGACCAGGAAGGTCTGTGCACCAGTCTCCTTGCAGAGCAGAACCAGAGAAGCCAAACACTTCCCGAAATGTAATCGCCACGAGCCATCGTTACCTCCGCTCTCTTTGTTTGCCGTTCTCTGAAGAGCATCAAGGTGCTGAGACAGCTCAGGGAGCTTCATTCTCAAGAGGTCTCTGAAGACAGCCATGTCCACGGACAGTGCCCGAAGGTTATTGACAAAGTAGCTCTCGGGAAGTACCTTGTCAATCAGGTAAATCATAATCTAAAAAAGGAAGATAACAAGACTACTTCATACCCACCAGGTTCCCAGCAGGCCCAGAGGAGAAAGCACATCCAAATAGACCAAAGCAGCCAGCCAAAGCACACATGCCTCCCAGTGCATCAGAAACCAATCCAGGACTCACCTACACCAGACGCAAGGAGCGGGTGGCATAATTATCTAAGTAACCCAACGTCAGCTGTGCTGTGAAGTTTCTAGAAGGGCTGCCAGACCTGAGTTCAACCAGTACGTAGCTGTGATTACACAACCCTCAGCCTCATGGAGAAACGAGAAATCACAAGCTCCCAGCTTCCAGCAGGATCCTCGATCCTGGCCCCTTGAGGTCATAGGATTTTACAACCTGGATATGAAATCCCAAGAGTGGCCCATCGTAAAGCACCTGCACTAAGGCAGGCCTCGAGATGCACTTGCGGCTACCTGGGCTCTCAGAGAGACCAACGCCAGCCTTGGAGAACACAACTAGGTCTTGTTTGCACACTTGGAGCCTGGTAAAATGGCTCCTGTAACACGAGCTCCTCAAATTACTGTTTCATCTGATCGCTGTACTTGTGTGGCCTTTTCTAAAATGTGAGAAGCCAGCCGGGCGGTAGTGGCTCATGCCTTTAATCCCAGCACTCAGGAGGCAGAGGCAAGCGGATCTCTGAGTTCAAGGCCAGCCTGATCTACAAGAGCTAATTCTAGGACAGGCACCAAAGCTACAGAGAAACCCTGTCTCAAAAAAACCAAAAAAAAAAAATGTCAGAAGCCACTCAAATGACCCATCAAAGCCCACACCAGCTCGGTGCAGAGCCTTTCCCGGAGAGCCTGAAGGCTGTGTGATGCCCCACTCCCTGGAAGTCCAGCTCACTCCCCAGAACACCAGAAAAACAAAGACCAGAACCACACACGGCTCTGTATGCTCATGGGGAAATCACTGTCTCATAGGATCCCACAAAACCCCATTTTCAAAAAGGAAGTTATGTTTTAGCCCTGATAAGGCCCATTTTATTTTTCAGGTCTTAGCTCTGTGTATAAGGCAGAGCCCCAGGAAATCCCTTTGCAGCCTTCCACACAGGATGGGCAGCCCAAGGAGTTTGCTACATTAGGACTGACGGGATTTACCACATAAAAAGACCACCTGCGAGGCAGAAGCTCGGCCACAGGGGAAAAACAAAAATTCACCCAGCCCCTGCGGAGAGAGGGCAGCCTGGGAGGACCAATGTGGGAGAGGGAGCAGAGAGCAGAAGGCTCTAGCGGACATGGGTCATCAAAAGACGAGGGGGTGAACAAGGGAGACAAACTTCAAGATCATAATCTATACCTCGCTACTTTTCACATCCGCGTTATAGAGTACTGAGAAAACAGATTTATTTATTCATCGTGCAGGAGACCTAACCCATATACCAGGCAATATGGAAATCTCAAGAGCTACCCTGTCATGAAATGCCCACCCTAAGGCCGGGTGCCCACCCGATGCACTGACTGCCACCCGGACCACCTACGGTCCACATACTTGGCCTCTCGTATACAGGCAACCAACTTCGCTCCAGAGGTGCCACCCAACCCTAACACCTTTGTATTAAGAAATTATGACCTCTTTAAAACTGCAAACAATTCTTCAGTTGTGCTGGGGGTTCTTTTCTGTGCACATGTGCGATGGGGGTCCTGTGGAAAGCGCATGCTCATATGAGAACAAGTACGTGTGTGGGACCAAGGCTAATGCGAGACGCCGGCTACAATTACCTAGCGCATCATATACTGAAGCAGAGCCTCTAGTCTGGCTAGCTAGCTTGCTCACTTAGGGACTGCCTTGCTCTGCCCCTCAGCGTGCAGGAGTGACAGGCAGGCCACATCCACCCAAGTGTCATGCAAGTCCTGGGGATCTGAGCTGCTTTATCCACTGAGTTACTTTGTTCTTTGCCCTCTGAGCCACCTCTCTGCCCCAATTATGTTAATAATCCCATAGCGTAATAAAACCCTAGGCGTAGAATTCTGCAGCAAAGAATTCGGGACCACGAGGCGTGCATCCACCCACTGAGACAGTGGAGCTGATCTACGGGGAGCTCACCAAGGCCAGCTGGACTGTGACCGAAAAAGCATGGGATAAAACCGGACTCTCTGAACATGGCGAACAATGAGGGCTGATGAGACACCAAGGACAATGGCAGGGGGTTTTGATCCTACTTAATGTGCTGGCTTTGTGGGAGCCTAGCCAGTTTGGATGTTCACCTTCCTAGATATGGACGGAGGGGGGAGGACCTAGGACTTACCACAGGGCAGGGAACCCGGACTGCTCTGTGGACTGGAGAGGGAGGGGGGGGGAAGGAGTGGGGGGAGGGGGAGAAGGGTGGGAGGAGGGGGAGAAGGGTGGGAGGAGGGGAAGGGAAATGGGAGGCTGGGAGGAGGTGGAAACTTGTTTTTTGTTTATGTTTTTTTTCTTCTTTTCGCAATAAAAATAAATAAAAAAAAAAATAAAACCCTAGGCGTAAAGTCATCTCAAATTCTGATATGAAATCATAGGAGACAGCCCCCCTCACTCTACCCACGGGCTGGATTCCAAACACTTCTAAACAAGCGTGGTAGGTGCCGAGGCAGAGGCAGTGGCTGGCTTGATCCTATTGATTCCCCAAGGCCGTTTAGCTGGCAGAGGCTAAAACAGCTGCTGGAAAAACAGACGCTCAATCATTTCCTGAGCAGGAAGGTCCCCTCAAGAACCCAGCCTTCTTCTGCCTGCGAGGCGTCTACCAAAGCCCACGCATCCTCATGTGGCATCCCGCCACATCCTCTGAACTCATTTTCTGTCTTATTTCGTTTAGTATTGGTTTTGTTTATAGTTTTTCTTTTTAAACAGGATCTGACCTTGAATTTGTTATGTAGCCAAGGCTGCCCTTAAACTCCAGATCCTCTGGCTAGAGAGATCGCTCAGTGGTTAGGAATACTGGCTATTCTTCCAGAGGACATGGGTTCAATTCCCAGCATCCACATGGCAGCCCACAACTGTCTGTAACTCCAGTTCCAGAGAATCCAACACCCTCACAGAGACATACATGTAGGCAAAACACCAAAGTACATAAAATAAAGATAAAATCATTTTTGAAATAAAAAAAAAAACTTCTGATCCTCATACCTCCATTTCCCAAGTGCTGGGATTATAAAATGTGCACCACAAATCTTAAATCCCAATTCAGCTTTTCTTTTGTTTTGTTTTGCTTTGTTTTTCGAGACAGGGCTTCTCTGTGTTGCCCAGGCTGTCCTAGATCTTGCTCTGTAGACCAGGTGGGCCTCGAACTCACAGAAATCCACCTGCCTCTGCCTCCTGAGTGCTGGGATTAAAGGTGTGCACCACCATCCCTAAGCCCCACTTCAGCTGTTTTATGTGTCTTTAATTTCTCAGGCATTTTTGAGCCCTTTTGTGATCTAACCGGGATCTATGCACCCTCTTCCCCCCGCCACTACATTCTGAATCACTTATTCTAACTCTTCAGCAGAACGCTTCCTACTTCAGACTCGAAAATTACACCTGAGAAAAACTGCTAAACCTGTGGACTTACCCAAAGTAGCCTTGTCTGGGCTACCCTCAAACTCACAGACATCCTCCTGTCTCTGTCTCTGTCTCCCGAGTGCTGGCATTAAAAGTGTGCCCTACCACGCCCAGCTAAAACTGCTTCTTAATTTAAAGCACCCCAAAAATCACACACTGAACCTGTCACTGCCTTTCCCTCTCCCTGACATCACCTTTTAGATGATCAGGTAGCTTCAAAGTTATTGCCTTCAATACATAAACAGAAAACGTGAAGGGGTGAACGCACTTCGGGTTGGGCTTATAATTAAGTCTACCGTGATATATAAAACCAGAAGGAACATTTGTTTGTTTTTCCATGTCACCAAGATATTCCCCAGTCAAGCAGGTGGAGGCTTGAATACAAAGATTAAATCTCATACGTCACAAACACTAGGGTCAACATCCGCTTGGAGATCCAGCTATGAACTGGAAACTCACACTGCCTTAGGCAAAGGAGCAGTGGTGTCCGCCATGCTTGCAAGCCTTCGTATTCGACATACACTCTGTGATGGCTTCAATGCAAACAACTCCAGAGGCTCATAGATTTGAACGTTTTGTTCCCGGTTGGCAGACTGCTTAGGAAGAATTAGGAGATGTGGCCTTGTCAGAGGAGGTGTGTCACTAGGGGTGAGCTGTGAGGTTTCAAAAGCTCAGGCCAGACCCAGTCTCTCTCTTCTCTCCCCTTTCTATCCCCTCCATCCCTTCCTTCCTCCCTCCCTAACTCCCTATCTTCCTCCTGCCTGCAGATCCAAGCTCAGCTACTACTCCAGCACCACACTGGCCTACCTGCCACCACGCTCCCCGGTTTATAAACTCATCTGGTGACCATGGGAATGGAAATGTAACAGCTATCACATGGGACGTTTGTTATCTCTAATCTCTTCTAATTTGCTCATTTGGAGGATGTCAGCTGCCAGTTTGGGGTAAGGGCAGGAACAAAAAGGTCTTCAGCCAACCACCATCAAATACTTGAGACCCCTTCAGTTCAAAGAGCCTGTGAGGAATTCAACCTTGCCAACAACCACGTGAACATACCCAGCAAATGCTCCTGCCATGTGAGCCTTCAAATAAGATCATCTGGCATCATGAATGCCAGAGTGATTGCCTTTGAGCTGGCTAATGCATGTCACCTGACATGGCTTTAATTGGGGAAATTCTATCACAGTGATTACAAAGGGATCAGAAGGGGATAGGCATCAGAGGGGAGAGTTATAGCACCAACTGCAGCATCCAGTTGCCTTTGTCTGAACGTGATACTCACTTTCAGGGCATCCCCTTCATTGCCCTCCATCACTTCCAGAATCAGAGCAGCTAGGATGTTGAAGCCTTGGCAGTACCCGACATTCTTGTTCCACCGGGCGTACGCCAGCAGCACCCGCTTCAGGACCACCCTGTCCTGCTCGGCCTCCTGGCCGCAGTAGGAGCTACAGCCCGTGCGGTGCAGATCCTAGGAAGGGAGGGGAAAATAGATTTTAAAACATCTCCTGCTGTGATTTGGACCCATGCCGTTGACAGGGCTACTGGGACCCTGGCCTCTCCTCTCCTCTCCTTTCCTCTCCTCTTCTCTCTCTCTCCCTCTCTCTCTCTCTGGTTTTTTGAGACAAGGTTTCTCCAAACCTGAGCCTTGATCCTGTCCTGGAACTCACTGTGTAGACCACGCTGGCCTCAAACTCAGAAAGATCTGCCTGCCTCTGTCTCCTGGGTACTGGGATTAAAGGTGTGTGCCACCACCACCTGGCTTGATTTTGGTTTTTAATTTATAAACAATTTATACACAGGAGCCAGAACACTCCTGTGAATTGTATTTCCCTACTGCTTTCAACCATGCGGCCCTGAGAAAGAGACACGAGGGCTGTTTTAGTCAAGCAACTGTTCTCAGAGTGCTTCCAGAATCAACACAAAGAGTTACTCAATCAACAAAACTGCATTGCAGTTTCGTGTAAGTGGAGAGTCTTTTAAAGATGTCCATTAGTGTGTTTGTATATACAGTCATTTCAGCACACAATGCAGGATGATAACATTGATCCTTTGCACAAAATATGGTATGAGGTTTAGAGGTTTCGCTGCTAAAACTAAACAGCAAAGTCATTATAATACGCAGACACATCATCCTGTGCAGAGCACGCTACGAAAACACCTGCTGTGCTTCAAGGTGTAGCGGCGCTAATATCTTTAATTTAATTACCAAGATGGCACCATGGTTTTTAGGAGAAAAGATCATTTTACTGATGGAGCATTTGCTTCAATGAAAAAAAAATAAGATATCCCTTTTAATAACGTGATTATAAGATGTGTTTTGCCTAAGCCGGTCATTGTGGTGCTCTCCTTTAACCCTAGCGCTCAAGAGGCTGGGCAGGCGGATTTCTGTGAGACCAAGGCCAGCCTGGTCTGCATAGTGAGTCCAAGTCAGCCAGGGCTAAACAGTGAGACCCCCATCTCAAAAGGCAAAACAAGAAGAAAAAAAAAGCTAAACAAAACCGGGGTAGAGAGATGGCTCAGTGATCAAGAACACTGGCTGTTCTTCCAGAGGACATGGGTCCAATCCTGAGCATCCAGATGGCAGTTCATAACTGTCTTAAACTCCAGTTCCAAAGGACCTGTTGACCTCATCTGACTTCCATAGGTACCCAGAAATGACAGGAATGCACAGACATGCATGCCAACAAAACATCCATATACATAAAATAACGTTGCTTGAAAGTGCACTGCCTTAATTCATAAGTTAAACAGAAAGGGACTATTTCAAATAGGAAATTTTGTCCTATGCTGAAATTTCAAATAAAGCATTAGAAGGTGGATAATGCAAATGGGTTCAACAAGCAATGTGAAGTGCTATAATTTTTTTTAAATGTTCATTTGAAACAAACCAAGTTAGATCAGAAAGTGGCTCGTTTTAGTTTGTTCTTTCTTTTTTTAAAAAAAAATGGATTTAAATGTGCCAACACATTAGCCATCTAGTGGTGGCCAAAATGTAGATGAGACAGCCTTCCTTTTCAAATCCTAGCTTAGCATCCCACTGTGGAACACTCATAAATTCAAAGCCCACGTGCCCAAGCCTTATGTACAAGGATTATTCTGGTACCAAATGAAATCAGCATTGTTGGCTCTTGTATCAGCCTCAACAATAAAGGCACCCAACCATAGCTGCCCGAAGCAGACCTGAACCGAATGCTAACCCACCTGGTTTAACGCAGATCCATCAGCCAACCTAACTATCGACACCCTAACATTCAGACTAGCAAAGGTTCTAATAAGAGACAAATGTTTCTAATACGAAATATACTCACGTCTAAATTTCTCAGTCCAAAGACTTTAATGTGAAAGTACAATTGATATCCTGAGCTATACTACAGAAAAATAAAAAAGCTTCAGTCTCCTGTTGTGTAACAAAATTAGATCAGTTGAACATGAACGGAAGCTCAAGCCCATTTTCTGCTTGCGGGCAACATTTAAATTTATGAAGGCAAGGCATCAAACTCTCCATCCAAAAGCTTCACCATGGATGGGATGAGGAAGCAAATGAACACAGACATCCAGTCCTGGAGGTAGAGGTCATCCGACCCTCTGTCTAGGAGATGCTTAGCTCTTTGGGTTCTTTTTGCAATATCAGAACAAGAAGCCAGGTTCGGGAGCATTACCTTGACGATCTGGATCCCCATTAAGTCATCATCGGGATTGCTTCTCTCATTGAAAGTGAAGCGCATGGTTTTGTCCCAGTCGATGGCAATACTGTGCAGATAATGATCCGCCAAGGTCAGCCAGACCTGAAGGGTTGCGTAAAGAAGATCGGTAAAGCAGAATGCCCCGCTGTTATTAGAAAAGTAAGATTGCATCCAGGAAGGGCAAGGAACTGTTCTGAGACCCGGGCTAGCCCACGCATACGAGCTTAGTCTGCTGTGTTAAAGCAGACCCTGCAGCTTCCACTCTCTCTTGCAATAAATATTTGCTGTGTTCCTACTACGTGCCAAGGAACAATCTAATCGTTAGGAAAGAAAATAGCCAGAACTTCTTTCATTTTATTTCAGTTCATTGAATAGGCTGTAAAATTCCATGACCTTGTTTTGTTTTGTTCAATTCCAAATCATTCTCTTCTCAAGCAACAGCTGCTTGGTCACACATGGACTGCTCTTCCCCACAGAGGCCTCTGCCTTAAACCTCCTCCCACACACATGCTCTACACACAACCCTAACAGATGGAGTCTCGGGATGAGTAAGTTTCTCAAGACTCACTAGATATTTTCACTCCTTTACCTGACCAAGATAATCTAATTCTGAAAAATGAATTTCATAACTCCACATTAATTTTCACTTAAGAAACACTCAGTGTTCAAATTCCAACGTTAAGATTACATTTATAAATTAATAACCTTAGAGTACATTTCAGACTTCAGCATTTGAACATAACTTGGCAAGAACAGCATTGATTAATATCTCCAACTAGATGTCTATGCATCAGAATTCCACTCAAATGCCCACTGGATACCTTTGCATTAGATTCATATCAGGTATCTGACTGCAACAGATGTCAGACCAATTATCTCACCCACCACTGCCTCATTACACACACAGACAGACACACACACACCTGTTCCTTGCATCCACACCAACGGCAACTCTACCTTTCTAGCCACTTGGGCCAAAATCTGGAGGCCAACTTTGACATCCCGCATATGTCTGATAGTCAATGCATTGGGTATTCATCTCAGCTCAGGCTTTAAAGTACATTCAGAATCTAGCCCTTCTCACCATCTCCAGGGACCACTGGCCCCTTTCTTGCCTGAATGATTTAATCTACATGTATGAGATGTAGCCTCACATCTCATACGCTCAAAGCAGTAGGCAAAGTAGCCCATCTGACCTGACCAGACTGCTTGGAGCTTCCTGGCGCTCTCTCTGGTGTGTGTGTGTGTGTGTGTGTGTGTGTGTGTGTGTGTGTGTCTGTCTCTCTCTCTGTCTGTCTTTCTCTCTGTCTCTCTGAATGAAGAGCCATAGTGCATCTACAGCCTAGGAAGACATTCATGGCTGAGCCACTCAAGTTGCCTCTAGACCCAGCCCCTCCTACCACCTCCCCTGCCTCTATGAACCTCCCACCATCCTTCTGAGATCACACCCCAGGTGCTCCCCACCTGAGTGCCTTCCCCCAGGCAGCTGTAGTTAACTGCTCACTTCCTCCTTCAGGTCCCTACTCACACATCACCTTCTATATAAAATTCCACCTCCTTATCCCTATTCTCCCACACTCTCTTTATCTCTCTCTGCTTTATGTCTATCTACAGCACACATCACGGTGTGACACACTCTATTGGATTCCCTGTAAGTTTTATGAGGACAAAATATTCCATCTGCTGTTGTTCCCACGGCTGCATCCGTAGCACCCCGAACACTATCTGGCACAAACCATGAATACCCGATGCACGATTAACAAAGAATACACTTTCAGACTTCCCAGGTATTTTAATGGGCAGAGTGGTGGTCGTTTTGTATTTTAGCCCTGTGAACCCACTCACCTTTCTCCTCCACTCCTTTGGGATCCCTGTTGACAGTCTGGCAACTGCCTTGAGAGCATCATACCACTAGGACCAGAGAGAAATATTAGAGAAGTAATAATACGAACCCGGAGCAGCATTTCCCGGCTTCCCCATCTGGACATCTGTGCTGGCAATTTTTATGTCAACTTGACACAAACTAGATTCACTGGACAAGAGGGAGCCTCAATTGAGAAAAAGCCTCAGTAAGATCTGGCTACAGGATAAGGCAGGTCTGTAGGGCATTTTCTTAATTAGTGATTGGTGTGGGAGGGCCCAACCCATGGTGGGTGGTGCCATCCCTGGGCAGGTGGTCCTGGGTTCTATAAGAAAGCAGGCTGAGCAAGGCATGGGAGCAAGGCAGGAAGCAGCACCCCTCTGTGGCCTCTGCATCAGCTCCTGCCTCCAGGTTCCTACCCTGTTTGAGTTCCTGCCCTGACTTATTTGATGATGAACTGTGATGTGGAAGTGTGAGCTGAATAAACCCTTTCCTCCCCACATTGCTTCAGTCATGGTGTCTTGACACAGCAATAGCAACCCTGACTAAGACAACATCCATAGGACATGAGAAAATTAACACAGCACCCTAGAACACAGGGCTTCTCTCCGCCAGAAGTCATCTTTCTGGGGGCTGTAAGGGTCCCAAGCCTTAAATATCCTAACCAAACACCCCTGTTGCCCATGTGACCCCAACAGTTGGGAAGATCTGAAACAAAACACCATACATCCTATGAGTCAAAGCTCTATCTGTGAGCCTCTCTGCGGTGCCTGAGGTGAAACTGTAACCATATTCACCTACTCTTGTATCACTTCATTAAAAAACGCAAAATTGTTCATTGCAACTATAAACCCAGGTTACTTAGGCTTTAAAAGTTATTGTATTACAAACTGAAGAAAAAAACTGATATCTCTTGTGTATAAAAATATGTGTGAACATTTTCATTTTAAGAATATATGATAATGTACCCTGCTGATATCCCCAAATTTAAAAAATAAAATGCCTTAAAAGCCATAAACAAAGTTACCTGCTGAAACCCATTTTGGCCTAAAGATGGCTCAAGTGTGAACTTCAATTTTGTGTCAGCTCCTGGAAGGAAATTAAGTAGTTGTTGTTTATGTGAATTATAACAAAGTTGTATTGTAAATAAATTCAACACTTAACTCTACTGAATTGTATTAAAATTTTTAAATGTTTTTACTAAATTTTAGCCAATTTAATTAAAATACATTAATTCTAATGAAAAATGGCTTAAGACAATAAAATGGAGTTTAAAACATCAGATGGTCGCTCCCACAGATGCCTGGAGTAACACAAAACAAAGCCAATACCTGACACCACAGGCAAGAGCCACAAACCATCATCATCTCTGGGTCCTAAACTCAAACTCCTTAGCCTGTCTGCACCTCAGTTCCCTAATCACTGAAGTGAGGACAGCAGCTTCTGCCTCAGAGATCTGCTGCAGTGACTGGCTGTAAAGCTCACCTGGGTAGCTAGCAGTTATAAAACACAAAGGGGTGATTCTCCAGTTGTAGAGTTTGTTTTTCTGCAACAGACAGACTAAGACAGTTAAGGAAGCTCCAAGGGCTGGAGTCAAGGAGACCTTGGGTCTCATTTCCCGCGCAGGGGACAGGGTACGTCACTGGAGCATCAGAAGACATGCAATACCATCGTGGCACTGTGAACACAGCAAGACGGGAGAGCTAGTGTCTGGTGTGGACAAGCGCTGAGCTAGAGTCCTCACAGGACAAAGTTAGGTTCACCGGTGTACCTCTTCCTGTTTGCTTTGATTTAGCAACACCGGGGATCGAACCTATAGCCCAGTACACGCTCTTTCACTGAGCTACACCTTCCCACACTCCCTTCTGCTTATGGGAGGATTTATTACAACAATTCCATTTGGTAACTTCCAAATATTTTAATTCAATCTTAATAAACCTATTTGTTGAGGATAAAAGCATATCAAGTTCTAGACTATAAACTAAATATAGGACTAAATTCTAATCCTAAGTAATCTAATGCTTTAATTTTCTTTAATTTAGATCCCAAATCTATGGAACAAAAGTGGGAAAGCAAATAAAAAAATAAATTTTTGTTACTTATATTTAGCCTTTATTCACAATTCAGTAATAGAAATATGTGTTGTTATTGAAGAGAAATTCTATAACAATTCTTATTCTTGTTTAAAAATCTATAAAAATATAATATAATCAAAACTGAAGATACAATATATCCTTTTTTATACAACTTCAAAATCATTTGATAACATAGTTTAGTTTTCACACAGACTCGTTACATCACCCCTAATTGCCTAGAACTCGCTGTGTAGATCTGCCATGTCTTCATTTCCTGTATCTTCTAAGTACTGGGATTATAGGCAGGCACCATCATCCTGCCCAACTCTAAGCTGTGTGTGGTGTGTGTGTGTGTGTGTGTGTGTGTGTGTGTATGTGTGGTGTGTGTGTGTGGTGTGTGTGTGTGTGGTGTGTGTGTGCGTGTGTATGTGTGGTGTGTGTATGTGGTGTGTGAGTGTGTGGTGTGTGTGTGGTGTGTGTAGTGTGGTATGTGTGGTGTGTGAGTGTGTGTGGTGTGTGTGTGTGTTGTGGGTGCATGTGTGTATGTGTACAAGTAAGCATGCACATTGGGTGTCTTCCTCAGTCACTCTCCACCGTATACTTTGGCTCACAGTGTCTCACTGTGGAGCTCACCCATGCTGCTAGGCTATCAAATTCCAGAGATGTGTATATCCCACCACCGCCTCTGAATGCTGGGGCTACAGGTTTGCACTGTGCAGTTTAGCATGGATTCTTGGGATGCAAATTCGGGTTCTCATGTGCACACAACAAGCACCTTAGCATTCAGCCATCTCCCTAGCCCCTTTAGCTAATTAAAAAAAAAAAAAGATTTATTGTTTACAAGTTCAAAGATCAAGAAATGTCAAACATTCTCAATAAATATTCCAGAACGATCAAATGACGACACTTGCTGCTAAGAAGTCTGTAGGCTGCACATATTAAAACCTTGCAACTTCTACCACTTAGATGGAGCACTTAGAGGTAGGGACAGATAGGAGCAATCTTCAGGACTTAAAAAAAAAATAAGAAAGTGGCCTTTTAAAAGGCATACATATAGGATCAAGAAGCAAGAAAGGCATGCCTGGTTCGCCCAAGCCCATGACAGTAGCAGATAGATGGTGGGATGTTGTTCTTATTGATGATGGAGTTATGGGGCCCTGTACAAGTGTTCTGGACCTAGATTTCCTGTCAAAAATGCATGGCATCTGATGATACCTTGACATTTCAAAGCTTTAAAAATCAAAAGCGTGTTATAACTGGATAGATGAATTTCTTCTCCAAGAAAAGATTAATTGCCCACTGATTCTCATCTCTGAGAACGGTTTTAATCACCTCCTGCCTCCATAGTGGTACCAAGAATGCCTCCAGTTCCAACCAGTGAAATGGACTTTGTTGAAAGGGTGCTGTCCAGGTCCGGGGTGCTGAATGTAAGCGCTTATAATTATGATTTTCGCTCTATTACAACAAAAACCAGGAAATCCTGACCCATGGTGACTTTGCCACTGCCCTGAAACCACCGGGTTCCCGCTGTGATTGACAAAATATGTTGCTTTGACTTTTTGGAGCCACTTGCTGGGAGTAATCCGATTGCTTTCCTGTGCTGAAAACCAACTAGGGCTAGTTAGTCAAAACCACAACTATTTTCTCCTGATCAAAAATGAATCAGGTTTTAAGTGAAAATGATCATTCGCCACCCGCATGCAAAGGCTTAAATCGGGTCATTTTCACGCTCTTTTCTTCTAAGTGAGATGAGAGGCGAGGAGGTTTATATTTCATCAGATAATCACAGCTGTTCCGGATTCAGAAATACAAAACGTGGGAAAATTCAACGTGGGAAGGCGATTTTTTTTAAAAAAGAAAAAGGTAAAAAGGAGACGATGAATAAATACCACACTCTGCAATAAGACACTTCAGTAGTGGAGAAAAACAAAGAAGCCACGAGGTTCGGAAAGGCGGCGACGCATTCCACCCTTTGGGACCCAGTGCCTGGGCAGAATCTGCAGCAGCAGGGTGACAGCAAGTCCCAGAAGGGGTGGAGAGGTGGGAAAGGAGGGTACATTGGAGACCACAAACTGCCTGGAGGCAGCTGGGGCCACTCCAGGGAAAGATGAGCAAGCGCAGAGTTCAGGCTCAGCGGGCAAACAGAGCGGCCACCCCCTGCCAGGACCCTCAGCATTCAGGCGCGGGTGCCAGGGCCAGGCTCTTAAAACCCTAAGCAACGATGCCAGGTGACCGAGCTGACGCGGAGATAAGCAGAGCCTGGAGAAACAGGGATATGTAAACACAAGGTGACGGTAGGAAGGGCCTGTTCTCACAAGGCCAGGCTGGCTCCTGGACCTTACCTAGGCACAGTTCGTGCCCTCTCCTACCCCAACACAAACACATCACAGGGACTCTCGGGAAAACATATACTGGATAGCCCTTTGCAGTAGCTGCCTTTCCCTCCAACCTGCGGGGTCAAGGCCAACCCCCACACCTCTTTGGAGGTCTGGCTTCCAGGGAACCCGAAGCACAATAGGTGACGCAGCCGGGGCTGGAAGGGGCAGCCTCCTTCACTTCCCCACCGAGTGCATAGGCCACGGGATAGCTTCTTCAGGACAGCGGGGTCGTCAGTGCCCTGGTGGCCGTTGAACGCACCCAGGCCGGGGTCTGCTCCCATCCCTCCCACCTGCACCTCGATGCCCATCCACAACCCGTGCCTTACCCGGCTCCAAGGTGCACAACAACCGGGGCGCGGTCCGTGAGATGCAGCTGCGCTTTTTGAGCACATTGCTCAGGATGGTGCCCACGCCACCGCCGCCGCCGCCCTGGCGCTTCTGGCATCGCCCGCCGCGACGCAGGGAGCTGGTCAGCTTGTCCTGCCGCATCCGAGAGCACCAGAGCACCGTCGGCCTCCCGGGTCCTCGCTGCTGCGCCGGAACGACTCCGCACGCGGGACTCAGGAGAGTCCAAGCCGGGGAGGCTCCGTGGGCAGCTGGAGCTCCGGAGACGAGAGGATCAGAGAGACGCGGCGGGAGCAGCAGGAGCTCCGGGAGACCGACTGGCATCTGCAGTGCGGAGCCCAAACGGTTGCGACCGGAGCTGGCTGGGAGGGGAGTAGGGCGGGAGCGAGCGCGCGGGCGCACAGAGACGGAGGCGGCGCTTCAGCACCCAATCCCGGCTTCAGCCTGAGCAAGCAGGGCGGTCTGAGTACCCGAGTCCAGAGCCAGCTCGGAGGACAGAAACCAGAAAGAAGGCAGGGATGTCGCACTTCTTCTAAGCCTGGGAGGGCTGGAGCGGCCGCAGGTGCAGACACCTCCAAGTGCCCACCTAGTCTGAGCAGCCAGGAGAGAGTGGGTGGAGAAGGAGAGGGCAAGGATGTCCGCGGACGAGCAGACCCTGGGGCGGAGAAGCAGGCAGATGGTGACCTCAACCTTCAGCCTAAATTATGCTCATGTTTTTCCTGGTCACTTAGAAGGAGGGCAAAGAATCATGTTTGAGAACAAAAATAACAACAAATATAGTTCCTCTTGGGAAAACTCTAAGAAAACGTTTTCCATTGAAGAAGCAATTTTTGAAAGAAGTGTTTCCGGGGGCGTGGCCAGGCCAGGTTCTCAATAAGAAATATCTGCCAGGCTTGAAAAACCCAGAAGAAACTTGAAAGCGTATTGAGTCAAAGCTTTAAGGAGGTGGGTTGGAGTGAAGACACAGTAAGACTTGGCCGACACTGTGACGGTGACATTGAAGGTGAGGGCTCATCCAGACGGATGAAGGATGGTGGCTACATCCTGACAAGTTCCATCCAGCCTGAGGCTGCTGCGGGCACTCCACCAAGAGCTGCCTCAAGCTAGCAATCCTGGGTAGGCAGAGAGCCCAGGATGCAAGCGCTGCAACCTGCCTGCGGCTCTGCTAGGTGTGCAGCAGCCCCTCCCCCTCGGCTCTATACTGCTTTCAGTCAAGGTGCCACTAAGTTGCCCTGACTGGCCTTGAACTTGTGATCTTCCTGACTCAGCCTCCTGAGTAACTGGTATAACA